ATATGGGCGGAAAGGACATGGAGAAAGCACTAGAGGGTGTGTCTGCAACGGTGTTTCGGCTTCCTTCGATCCCAAAAGAGGGCGTCATCATTATGCCTTCGGCACAAGAATGCGCCCTTTCAAAGTCAGGACCTCTCACCTTCGCAAACATGTGCTCAGAACTCCTCAAATATGCATCACGTGCACACTTTAAATCTCTGCGCTGCAACGACACGCTGAGTGCAATTAAACTTGTGCTGGTTCACCAAAGTTCACTGGTTGGTGGTCAGTTTCGCTCAAATCCGGGCTCTTTCACTTCCTGCTTGCCAATGACTGGGGCGCTCCTGGGCTTGCGGACCTTTTGTGGCACGGTGACATTTTGTTTAGTTAGAGCCATTGTCATTATTATCGCTAATAGAAGTATAATCGTTGTTCTTAGGATGTTTTTGGTTATTATGATTCTAAGAGTCATTATTATTCTTGTTGTCATTATTATTGTTATCAATATTATTTGTTCGATGCACCACTTGAAACCCCTCAGCATTGTGAGGTAGAGCTTTCGCAGGGCTGAGGGGGCTGTCTTATGGAGAGCCGTCGAGTTTATAGTATGTCCACTTTGGGTCATTAACGGAACCCTGGTTCTTGTTTTCCCCATGACAATTCCCAGGCATGACTTGCCGTACATGGACCTAGGAATGGAGGTAGTGCAAAGGAAGACAACAAGCGAGTCCAAATAATCACGTGGTGTGCTAGCACCTGAATATCCACTTTACGGCCATTTGGTTGGATCTATGGACTTTAGCTTTTTGGCAGAAAAAAATATATTCATCTGTTTGCAGAGGGGTCCTTGCAGAAGTCCAGGAATTATGGGGAGGCAAGGGGTAACCATTAAGGCAAATTTCCCCCCCCCCCCCCCCCCCCCCCCCCTTCCACCCCCCCCCTTCCACCCCGCCTCCCCCCCCCCCTTTCCCCCCCCCCCTTCCCCCCCCCTTCCCCCCTCCCTGCCTCCAGCCGACAATTCCAAGAAACCTTTGGGTCGAATCGCAGGAGGAGGTGTTCCAGCAGGCGGAACAGGACCACTGGGGTGGAGCTGGGGCGAACTGGAGCCGGACGAAGGGACGAAGGGACGAAGGGACGAAGGGACGAAGGGACGAAGGGACGAAGGGACGAAGGGACGAAGGGCTTCGGTCTCCGAATTTGCTGAGGGAGCAAAAGTTTCGGGGCTAGGGGGAGACTCATGGTAGATGGGGTTGGTGTAGTTGAAAGGGCAGCCAGGAGAAACAACAGCGATTAAAACCAGTATATATATATATATTCTTGTTAAGAGGAACGTAGTAGGGAAGAACTTTCGAGAAAACGAAATGTTGTATGGACCCCTCTGTTTTGACACACAGTCCACAAGGGCTCCAGAGGGTTTGTGGGTATGGTACCCTCACAGTGTTTCTTTTCGAGGACAATGAGCACAAATAATAGCTTGCTTTGGGGCGAAGCGAGCTCTGAAGGGGTGTGTGGGTGTGCATTGTGTGACAACGTGTTCAAGATTCTTTCGCATTCACCCGTGCGTATTGTCATGAGCTCACTCCCTGGGAATGTCTTGGGCATGAGCCTTGCCAAGCCTGACGTGAACCTGGCCCCCAGGAACTCTACCAGACCATGCAGCCGCCTGGCTTTGTGCCAGCTTGCCACTTGCGTGTCTTCAGGTTTTGAAGGCGCACTGCGAAGCAACCTTGTCGGGATGCCCCCCACTTGGAGACAAAACCCAGGGTTTTCAGTTTGTTTTTCTTCAGAGAGGGTCGATTTGGCTCAGTTAAGCGCAAGCTAAGGAAAGAGCTGACCCATTGCGGCTACCAGATGCCGAAGATCCGGGAGGCTCTCGCCTCGAGCGAAAACCGACCGGCTCGCCTCAGGCCTAGGCCAGCTACGGAAGGTTCTCCCTCGTTCTTGTCAGCTTGTCTATGAATGTGGGGGAGGGGGGTGAAGGGATGTTGACATAGAGGGGGGTTTCAAAGCTGTCAAGCATGCATCTCCCTCAAAGTTGTGTCTTTTTACTTTTTTGCAATCAACACCTTCTTGTGTGTTTCCTCTCCAACACACACACAAGCAAGACACACCACAGAAACAAGAAGAACAACAAGCCCTTTGACCCTCGACCATGTCGCTTCGTCTGTTTCTGAGGGCGAATTCTCAAAGACAATGGGGTGTCCCTGAAACCGACGGTGGATGCAAGTAAACCAACCACACCCAGCCACAACACCAGGGTGAGCTGCAGTAAGCTCGTTGGAATTTTCCCTTGGTTTTTGCTGGCAGTTTCTAGGGCATCCGCATTTTGTGGTGGAGCTTTTAAGCCGAGGTGGTCCAAGTGGGGGGGGGTAGGGAAAATGGGTACCCTCCCACCAATAAACAGAACCTGACAGGGTCCTGGAAGACCATTTGCTTTCAACGGCATCTAGTGGAACCAATCCATTTTTACCCAAAACCTACAACCACCAATCCACACCACCTATTTAGGAGAATCTGAGAACCCGTCGTTGTGGGGGGGGGGGGGGCCGGGGGCGACTTGGATCGATGGATTTCTCGCAGCGGGGCCGGGGGCGGGGCGCAGCGGCAGCGGGCGTGAGGAGTGCGAGAAGGCCGTGGAGCAGGCGAAGAGGCGGTTGGAGGAGGCGAGGCAGCAGAAGATCTTTGAGGAGCAGCGCAAGGCGGGGGGATTGGGGTGGGGGGTGGGGGGGCTTGGGGCTGAAGGGGGTTGTGGGCTTGGGGGTTTGGGACGCGTGTTTCTTTCTTCTTCTTTTTTTTTTTGGGGGGGGGGCTTGGAGGGTTTCGGGGTTTGGGCAGGTTGGCGGCGGCTTTTTTTTTGGCCGGGGGGGGGGGGGACTGGGTGGTTTGGGGTGGTTTGGTCTTTGGGTGGGTTGCGGGCTTGGGGCTTGTGGGTTTGTGGGTTTGGGGGGTCGAGATGAGGATCTCCAAACAAAAACAATCGATCATCAACCTTGTGGATGAAAGGTATCCCCCCATCTCCACGCCCAGCCCCGATCAGGAGTTTGTGGTTTGGATGGGCTTATGGGAAAGTGCAACTCCTCATTTCAGACCTGAAAGGGAGGCTGAGGCAAACAAACCCAACACCCACGCCACACAGCACACAGCGCCAGGCCGAAATGGCTGCCAAGGCGTTGCAGCTCGTGCGGGGCCTAAATCAGGAGGTCTCAACAAAAAAATAGGAGGGATACTTCAACTGCCCCACGCCTAGCAAAAATGGAGGCCTCTCTGTCAAAACGGGAATCGGAGCCCTTGTTGGATGTATTTTGCAGAGAAACCAAAAGGAGACCAACCACCTGGACGAAATTCATTTGCAGAAGCACCCAAATAGTCCTGGTTGTATCGGCTAGATGGCATTTGCAATAGTTGTGAAATTGTTTTTTCACCAGAACAGGGGCCGTGGGAGTGGTTGCAGGGGGCTTTCCAAGGAAGCCAACTTGAAAATCCTCGAACTTCCAGGTGGTCGGTGGATTTTTTTGTTGCCCCTATTTTTTTTCTTCCTCATTTGTATTTTTGGAGAAAGAAGGGGTGTGCCTGTTTTTAGGGCACTTTTTTTGTGGTTTTCTAGGAACTAAGGGGAAAACCATTTCCGAAAAAACAAGGCACCCAAATGGAGCCGACCACAAACAGGGATCCTCGCGGGCGTCATTTTTTCCATCTCGGCGGACTTTTCCAGCAAAGCCGTTCCCCCACAATGCAGGCCCGAGCTTCATAGGAGGTGTCCCAGTTTGGGGAAATGCCCAGGACCAGGGTTCCGTTTTTTGAGTACCCCAAGGTAGACTTAAACCCAGGGGTTTCCCTTTTGGGGAAATCAAGCACCCCTGGGTTTAAGGCGACTTTCAAAAACCGGAACCCTCCCAGGGCCCAGGACGGCCATGGCGGGTTTCGAGTGGAAGCGAAACCAGCAAATGTGGAGGCTCTCTGCCTCAAGGAGGGTGATCCTACAGCCCACCGATTTCTTGAACGCGTTTTTCATCTGCTTTCCTGGTTGCGGATCTGGCAAACATGCTTTTGCAGCAGTCACATATGCAGACGCACACACACAAATTTGTTTTGCTCTCTCTCTCTCTCTCTCTCTTTCTCTCTCTCTCTCCCTCTCTCTTTCTTTCTCCCTCCCTCCCTCCCTCCCTCCCTCCCTCTCGGTGTATCACATATATATCTATATGTATATATAAGCAGCATTGTAGATGCATGATCCCGATGGCAGTGTTGGACCTTGAGCCCTGTTTCATTTTGCGGTTGGACCTTTTCTCAACTTCCGCTGGGCAAGGTTGGAAGGGGCAGTCCGTTCCCACAAAGGGCTGCTTGTCCAGAGCTTTCCGCCCCCAGAAGCCCGTTTGATGCTTGCCAGGGCATACCTCGTCAGGGTTTGTTTCTGTTTGGCAACGGCTTCCTTTTCTCACTTCTTGAGTTCCTGGACTTTATACTTTTTAGGTTTGGACCATGTTGGCGGAAACTAAAAGCAGTTTGGTTACTTTTTTGGGCCCATGTACTCGACCGGAAGTGAGTTCTTTCGCTTCCCATCCTGGAGCCCTCATGTCGCGAGAGATGTCTTGCGCGAGTTCGCGCGAAGGTCAGGGTTGTGGGATCAAGAGGCTTCTCCCCACTTCAACATGTTTGGGGTTCCTCCTGGTGTTTATGCATTTTCCAGCCTGACGAAAGAGACTCACAGAACCGGCGTGCGTAAACACGCGCACCGCCGGCCGGAGTGAAGGGCTGTAAGGAGCATCCCCTCTCCAAACGGCGGTGTAGTCTTTGAGGGGCCATTCTTTTTCTCTTGTCTCACAGTGGGGCATGTCCGTCTTTGAGGGACAACACAATTTTCTCTTGTAAGAATCATTCCGTGGGCATTTCCCACCTTGGCGATCCCTGGCGCAGGTGGAAGAGTTCAAAGTCAAGGTGGACGCGGCAGAAGAGGCGGCCAGGGCCCCGGAGCCTCGGAGCCTCGGAGCCTAGGAGCGAGAAGCTGAGGGGTGCTTGGCACGGGGTGTTGGAAGGGGGTGGGGATGACCGGTCTTAGAATGGCTCGTAACGTTTTTTTTTTTTTTTTCCTTTTTTTTTTAATATATATATATACTTATATATAACAAACAACTAACATGGCTCAAATTGCAATTAACACATAAAACAAGTGGCTTCCCTTTGGATCTTTGCGCCCTAAGGACCCTCGTTGTCTTTTGACCATCCAGAGCCAAAGGGTCATTGGGCTTGGGCGCAGCTCAAAGAACTGGACCCCACGATGGCTCCAAGAGGTGCCCATACTGTGGATGGACGGAATCCGTTCGCACCACCCAAGAAACCCTCAAATGTTTTTTTTCTTTTTTTTTTCTCTCCTGGAAATGCCAACAAACACTGGTTTCGCATGGATTCAAAGTGCAGGATTTCGTGCACAGTATTAGACAGATCTCCGGCTGGATGCCTGCGGCCGGTGTGCCTCAGCGATGCGAGCGATTCAGTCTGGAAGGAAGACAAAGTGCTCCGAGCTCGAGCACTTTGAATCACGGGAGGGCGGAAAACCAGTGTGTCTGTGCTAAGGGGAGCCTTTTTAAAAGGCACGGGTTTGGAGACTGCCAGGGGCGGAAAACGGGCAGGGTTCGACGCTTAGCGGTTGCATGCGCATTCGAAGCAGCGAGGTTGGAACCGACTCGCCATGCAGGTCCTTTGCTGGTGTCCTTGCTGGATGTGGTTTGGTTGATGACACATATCTTTAGAAACCTTTGGGAAATAAAGGGTTTTCCGCGTTGAGCTCACACCAAGGTGTTCACTTTTTGCAGAGGGGTCCTTCCATCATGATATGTATAGTCATAATTGCCCAATGCGCTGATTGCACTCCGTGTGGTTTTGGCTCAAGAAAAGGGTGCGCTCCGCAGTGCACCCCAGAGCCGAGATATTGCATTTTGATGGTAGCGGGTGAGCCTCGACGGTCCATTTGGTTTGGAAAGCCGTACGAGGGGCCCAAGGGCAAGAACAAGGGCAAGAAGGGCAAGAGCAAGGGCAAGAAGGGCAGGGGCAAGAGCAACAAGGAGGAGCCGCCGTGGAGGCGGCCCGCTCGCGGCAAAGGCAAAGCCGCAGAGCCGGTCGAGGAGACCGGGGCAGCGGAAGAGCTGCCAAAGGAGAGGCCGGAGCTAGTTGCCCCTCCGAGTGAAGGAGAAGAAGACACCCTGTCCGCTGAGCCTGCCGCTGAGTCAGAAGCAGACTGGGGAGGATCCCAGGCTGCATCTCCTCCCTCCTCAGAGCCAGAGGCTCTGCCAAGTGGCCACAGGGGCCCAGAACCGGCTCGAGGAAGCCGGGCAGAGGAGAAGGAGGAGGAGCTGGAACAATACACCAACGAGGACAAGAAGGAGGACCACCACCCGCCGCAGAAGAAGCAGTTTGAGCCCGAGGCCACGGACTTCGACCTGGAGCAGAAGGGCCAGAGCGAGGACGAGAGCGTGTGGGGCGATTGGGGCAGCGAGGGCAGGATCCAGCCCGAGCCCAAGGTCGCTCACACGCCTAGGTCGTCAGGATCTCGGTGGTGGCAGAGTGCGACTGGCAAAGACAAGAGGAGAAGCCAAAACAGTCGGCACTTTAGGATCCTCAAAGGCCTCCTGAAGCTCGCGCAGAAGAAGCAGGAAGAGCCATCCGCGGAGCTCCAGGAGGAGATCGAGAACTTCGGGCAGGCGCCCTGGAAGAGGCGCCGGGTGCAGCCCAAGACACCACCGAAGTCCCCGCCTAAGTCCAGCCCTGCTCCGAAGACACCGCCGAAGGGATTCACAAAGGCCCAAGGAAAGGAGCCTTCACCGGGCGCTGAGCCCGAGCTGCTGGCACCGGTCGCCGAGGCAGCCAAAGCTCTCGGCCGACGGGTTACGGTGCACAGGAACATCCAAGAGCTTGCGGTGGCAAGGACGTCCCGCGGTGAAGGGACGAGCGAGCAGAACCTGGCCTCGAACTACCGCCTCAGGAAGGCGGCATTGGCAGAAGCTGCACACCGAGCCGGAGCAAAGCGCTCGGTGGCCAGAGCCATCCAGCAGAGTGTGCTGCAACTGGACGGGTTGGGGAACCCGTGTTCCTCGTGCGACGAGAGGACTCGCCTTCAGAGGCCATCGTTGTTGGCCAGGGCCGCAGCAATTGCAAAAGGGGCGGCAAGGAGGCGCGCACCGGTAGGAACGACCTCAAAGTCAGTACCGGAAGCTATCGCGAAGCCTCAGGTGAAGCCACCTCCTGCAAAAGCGGCTATAGAGGCGAAGGTACCACCTCCATCGCCAAGACCGAAGTGGGTGCTCAAGGAGAAGGCCCACATCGAGAAGCCCAAGAGCGAGCCGAAGGTTTCGCTGGCTCGGCCGAAGCGGCCGCCACCTCCGCCACCGACTCCGTCGCCGGCTACACCCCTGAGCGAGACCGAGGGCAGTGTTCACCTTCACGATCAACCGGCGCCGGAGCCGAAAAGCGGATCGAGCTCGGGGTCGTACTATAGTACAGAAGAGTCCGGGAAGGCGGACTGACCTCCCGGTGCTTGGCACCGGATATAAGGCATGGAGGAAACAGTGCGAGAGTTGCAGCAGGCAGTTGAGCGGTTGTCACAGGAGAATCAACTTCTTAGGCAAGGCCAGGCAGGTATAGCTGCTTTGGCAGAGAACCTTGGTAGGTTAGCTACAAGCCTGCAGAAGGAGATAGGAAGTTGTTGATAGACACCAAAGGGATTGGAAGACCGGAAGTCTTTTCCAATGATGACGGCCACTTCCGTAGATGGGCCCGGTCTGTGGTGAACCTCACAACGGCAATCTTTGGATCCAGTTTCCAGTCAATCCTTGAATGGGTAGTTGATCAGGATGAGGAGATCACTGTTGAAAAGGTAGAAGAGGAACATGGAGGCGAACTGGGAATGGCCGGACTGGATGATAAGGGAGACCAACTGTATAGGTTGTTGTCATCCCTTACTACTCATGAGTCCGAAGATCTGGTCATCAATGCCAAGAACGGGTATGAGGCATGGCGAAGGCTTAACAGGAGATGGGACCCCCTCACCGCAGGTAGGAAGAGGAACATCCTAAGGGCCATCCTCAACCCCGAAAGAGTTAAGTCTTGGGAAGCAGTTCGACCGGCCATGGAACAACTAGATGATTTGATGCGCCGATATGAGGCCAGAAGGAACGAAAGGGGCGAGAGGGAAATCCTCTCTCAGGACATAAAGTGTACGTCCCTAGAACTTCTGGTTCCAACCGACATTGAGCGCCACCTCATTCTGAACAAGAACCGGCTGGGAACCTACGAGGAAATGAAACAGGAGATTGAGGTTCTGATTGAAACAGTCACGGGAGCAAAGGGGACGATCCATCGACCGGGGTCCAGTGGGGCTTCGAGATCGGGGCAAGGCCCCGCTCCGATGGACGTGGACGCCATCACGAAGGTGCTCAACTCGCTGGTCAAAGGCTCGAAAGGTTCGAAAGGAGGCAAAGGTAAGGGAAAGGACAAAGGTGGAGGCAAAGGCAAAGGAAAAGGTAAGGACAGCAAAGGAAAAGGTAAAGGCAGTGGTTCAGGCAGCTCAGGACCCGCAGGAGCATGCTTCAACTGTGGTAAGCCCGGCCATAGAGCGGCCGAGTGTTGGAGCAAGAAGAAGGATGGAAAAGGTTCCAAAGGCTCAGGGAAGTCTGGCTCCAAGCAGAAGCATGTGGCAGGATTCGAGGACGCCGACTACGAAGCTGGAGACCAAGAAGAACAACCGGAGGCCGAAGTGGGAATGTTTGAGCTGGGTGCATTCACCCAGGGAGAGCCCCCGAAAGACCCAAGCTGGGTTCGGTTCAACCTTGATACGGGGGCTGCTCAAACTGCTATTCCAGTGGATTGGAAAGACCGCATCCCCACTAAGGAAGGAGCCCAGATGATGTTCAAGACAGCATCGGGGGAACTGGTCCCTGGGACCGGAACCGGGACGTTTCAAGGTAAGAGTGAAACAGGTTCCAGGTGTAAAGTCACAGGGCCATTAGCACCGGTACACAAACCGTTGGTTTCAGCTTACAAATGCCTCAACCATGGAAGGATGGCTGTTCTTGATCAAAATGGTGGACAGTTGATTCCAGCAGACTCAGCGACAGGAAGGAAAATTCAGCAGTTGCTCAACAAGCCCAGTAAAGCCCAAAAGAAGACTTGGTTGCCCATATACCAAGAGAAAGGAGTTTACAACTTCTATTTGAAGTCGGAAGATTGTTCGGGTTTTGGACGGCAGTCCAGCGAGGCGTAAGTCCGGCCAAACCACTTGCAGCGGCAGATGATGCCGTGGGTGCCGGACAAGGGAACCCAGAGGCACCAGCGGGCCGACCCGCAGGTGTGCCCGAGGGTGATGAGATGGATGAGAGCGGCGAGATCGCGCCGCCCGCACTGGTGAGAGCACCAGGAGGCCCATCGAGGGCCGAGGTTGCGGAGCATGAGGCAACAGGTCACGTGCAGTATCGCAACTGGTGTCGGCATTGTCTTGCCGGCAGAGGATTGGGTCAGCAGCATCGCTCACGACCCGAAGAGGACAAGGCGAGCGATGAGCTCGCGACAATCTCGTGCGACTACACATGGATGACGCGAGATGGAAAGGAGGATGGGAAGACTAAGCCTATCCTGGTGATCCGAGACAGTCGGACACTGGCCGTTGCGGCCACCTTCGTGGACGCAAAAGGACCGACGCCATATGCGGTCAAATTCATGGCGAACTTTATAAAGCATCTTGGTTACCGTCGTGCAGTCTTCAAGAGTGATGGTGAGCATTCGATCGTTGCCCTGAAGGAGCAGGCGGCCAAGGAAGCAGGAGTGGAGAATGTTCCACAGGAGTCGCCGGTGGCTGACCACCGGGCGAATGGCGCAATCGAGAACTTGTGCCGAGAACTCAAAAGGCAGGTGAGAGTCCTGCGATCCTCACTGGAGGAGAAGTTGGGTCGAGTCTTGAAGGATGACGACCCTGTGCTGTCTTGGTTTCCAAGGCATGCAGCAGACCTGATGTGCAGGTACAAGAGAGGTTCCGACGGGAAGACACCGGAACAAAGGAGGTGTGGCCGAGAATGGAGAAAGCCGGCAATCGCCATAGGAGAGCGGTTGTATTACCGTGAGGTAGGAGAAGGAGCTAGGCCACTCAAGGAAGGCAGGTACATAGGTCACCACGGAAGGACTGGCACTTTGCTGGTTGTGACCTCAGAAGGAGTGAAGAGAGGCACTGGTGTTCGTCGACTTCCAGAAGAAGATCAATGGAATCCACAAGGATGGGAAAGCCTTAAAGGCTACCCGTGGGAGGTCTCAGTGCGAGCGCCGGGAACGCCAGAGGGCCCCGGGAACTCCTGCTCAAGGAGTGGAGGACCTGCTGGTCAGTGAAGACCGGGTTGAGGTTCCGCCTCAGGTTGTGCCTGTTATGGCACCGCCACAGCAGCGACGGATTTACATCCGTAAGGCAGATGTGGAGAAGTACCAACCTACTGATGGATGTCCTGGATGCACTTGCGTGCTACTAGGGGAATCCACTCAGTTGCCGCACACTGAGATGTGCCGAGCGAGAATCGTCGGTCTCATGATGGATGATGAGCAAGGACGACGCCGTGTCGAAGCTCACAAAAGGAAAAGAGAGGAGACCGCGGAAGTAGGAGTGGAAGCAGATCTCCCAGCCCAAGAGGCCATGGGAGAGCCGGCCGCTGAGGCCGGAGTAGGATCTAGGCAAGACCCTGGACAAGTGATGGAGTATGTGGAGGATCCCGCGAAGAGGGCTGAACTCAAGAGAGCAGCAGCAGACCCGCCAGCATCGAGTAGCCCAAAGAGCAAGGCGAAGCCGACCACGCAGATCAAGAGACCGGGAGCGCTGTATATAGCGCCCGGAGCCAAGCAGAAGACGCAGCAGAAGCAAGGTGAGAAGCGAGAGCCCGCAGTATCTCCTGAAGAACTCCGAACGGAGACTCAACCGGCGGCTGACGCCGAGACTTCAAACACCCCGGACAAGCCCCCAGACGTGGGTGGACTTGAACTGGGTCGATTGAAGAGGATGTTGAAGTCCATGGTTGGACGGAAAGTAGAGAGAGCGTTTTTGGCTCAGGAGGTGGAGATCAACGCGGTCGAGCTGGAGCAGATCACCAAGCTGTGCGTGGAGATGGGCGCTGTTGATATCATGGAGATCTACAGCCCGAAGCGGTTCACGGCCCAAGCCGGGCAGTATGGCTTGAGGCCGGGCTTTGCGGTAGACCTTGAGGAGCAGAAACCGGACGGTTCCTACTGGGATCTCAGCAAGACTGAGGACGTCCGAGAGCTCGAGGAGTATGTGGACGAGGTCGAGCCGACATTGCTCACAGGGAGCCCACCTTGTGACCAATTCTCCCAGCTCCAGAACATCAACAAGTACAGGGTGAGCCCAGACAAGAGGCGCGAGAAGATGGATAGAGCAGTTGCTCATTTGCATACCGCCTGTAGGTTCTACAGGAAGCAGTTGCAGGCAGGTAGGTTCTTCTTGCATGAGGCACCGTGGAGTGCTACCTCTTGGAAAGACCCGGAGGTCCGTGAGCTCACTGAGAGACCGGACGTGTACACTGTCCGAGGCCCAATGTGCAGATGGGCTATGGTCGCTACGGACCGGAGGGGTTTGCAGGGCACAGGATATGTGCGGAAAGAAACTGGCTGGATGACCAACCATCCAGGTTTGGCCCAACTGTTGGAGGGCGAATGCACCAACAATGTGCCGGGGAAACCATGGCACCGGCACATCCACCTGATCGGAGGACTCGCTAGACCGGCGGCCCATTATCCGCCAGCGCTAGTGCGAGCGGTCCTGAAGACTTTGAAGAGCCACCTTGTAGAGAGTGGCCAGTTGAGTGCATTGGACGCAGCAGTTGCAGGTCCAATCCCAGAGGAGAGCTTCGTGACGCCGGAAGACGTGGAGCAGTACTGGGACGACGTGAATGGTGGGTTTTTGCCACCAGACCGAGTCAGGGAGGCACGTCAGCTCGAGTTGGACTATCTTAGGAAGCAAGAGGTTTACGAGAAGGTGCCGCTCGAGGAATGCCTCAGAGAGACCAGCGGGAAGGGTCCAATCACCACCCGTTGGATAGACACCAACAAGGGAGACCCCGCCAATCCCAACTTCAGGTCGAGATTGGTGGTCCGGGAGATCAAGGCCCGGAAGAGTCCAGAGGAAAGGATTCCTCAGAACATGCTGTTTTCGTCAACACCGCCTTTAGAGGCTATGAGGCTGCTATGTAGCCTATGGGCCACTGAGCGTGTATCCCATGGAGGACGACCACTCAAGATCGGACTTTGGGATATATCAAGAGCCCACTTCTATGGCGTACCCAAACGCCGCATATACATCCAGTTGCCGGACGAGGACGCCAGTCCGGGAATGGTGGGTCGTTTGACTAAGTCGATGTACGGGACACAGGATGCCCCTAACATATGGCAGCAGCACTACACGCAGCTGTTGATCAAAGCCGGATATCTCCGGGGAAAGTCAAATGGCTCAGTGTTCTATCACCCGACACTGGGAATAAGAGTGCTGGTGCACGGAGATGATTTCATGGCGTTAGGAGACGCCGAGGCGCTGAAGGAAGTAGATACTTTGCTTCGCAGTGCCTACGAGTTGAAATGGCTCGGGACGATAGGTGATGAGGAAGGAGACCACAAGGAGGTCCACTTTCTCAACCGGCTCATTCGTTGTGAACAACATCAAGGAGCGAGTGCGATCCTGATCGAGCCAGATCGACGCCATGTTGATTTGCTTGTGCAGCAGCTTGGCATGGAGAATGCCAAGGGAGCTCTACCGAAAGAGCAGGCTTCCCTGTATCGCTCATGCGTGATGAGGGCAGCGTACCTGTCACAGGACAGGTTGGACATCAGCCACGCTGTGAAGAATCTTGCGAGGAAGATGGTTTCTCCTACAGAGGCATCTTTGCAGGATTTGAAGCGACTGTGTCGCTACCTCATCAAGAAGCCGGACGTGTGTCAGGTCTTTGCACGGCAAGCCAAGCCGAGCAAGCTCCGAATCCAGGTGGATTCCGATCATGCCGGAGACGCAATAACGAGGAGATCCACAACAGGCATGGTTGCTCTGTATGGGTTGCATGTGCTCAAGCACAGCAGCAATGTGCAGTCGACCATCGCTTTGTCGACTGGGGAGTCGGAGTATTATGCTCTTGTCAAAGGAGGTTCAGTTGGTCTAGGCCTACAGTCACTCTTGGAGGACTTTGCGGTCGAGACCCAGGTGCTGATTCAATCAGATGCGACTGCAGCAAAAGGAACTGTCAATCGGGCAGGTCTGGGAAAGGCCCGTCACATCCAGACGAGGTTCCTGTGGTTGCAGGAAAGGGTCAGCATGGACCATCTGAGGGTGGAGCATACCCCTGGCAAGTCCAACAGGGCGGATGCTCTAACAAAGAGCATTCCAGGTGTACAGATGTCTGAGACCATGCGAAGGTGTGGTTATGTTTTCCTTAACCAGCGTAGCAAGGGACAGCTTAAGCTACTAGAAGGCTAAGGTCCCTGGCCAGACTCCGCTACCTATATTGCTGTGCGAGCGTGTACAGAGACGCTCTTCCAGCAAGGAGGAGTCATGATATGTATAGTCATAATTGCCCAATGCGCTGATTGCACTCCGTGTGGTTTTGGCTCAAGAAAAGGGTGCGCTCCGCAGTGCACCCCAGAGCCGAGATATTGCATTTTGATTCCAGCAACCAAGGTAGGTAGAACCAAGCTGGTTTAAGTTTGGCTCTGATCCTCTACGTGGAACCCCTAGGTTTTCCGCGCGACTTCGTTCTCCGGCCTGTGCGCAAGAGAGGCGTTCCCTTGGTCGTTCGCCTTGGTGGACTCGCCTTGGTCCCCGTTTGGGACCTTCCGCCAAGAACGAGCAGCAACTTGTATACATTTCGTGCCTGAAGCCAGGCCCCACTTTATAGCTGTCTGCCTTCTGCGTTCCCCCAAAAGAAGGCCAACCAAAAGGGGGCGTCCGATTTTGAGCGCCTCCCTTCCAGCTTTCAGCTCAGCGGCAGTCGCCGAGAGCACTCGGGCCCAAAGAGCTCCCAGGCCAATAGTCTCGCGGAGAAGGGCGAGCCGCGCGGGGCCAAGCCCAAGCCGGAGGTGGGGGCGTGCTCCGCAGAAATTGAAGTCGGATGAGGATGTAAAAAAAACAAACGAAAGAAAGAAACGGGACACTGCCACGAAAAAGGAGAGACACATCCGCGGGTCCTTCCAGGCGCATGGAGGTGAACCTTTGGGGAATGGTTGGTCGTTTTTTTCCCCGTATCATATGTTGCATTCTGTCGCTTATTTCTATTGTCTGTATAGCGCTTAGAAATATTCGGCCCTACATCATTAAAGAAGATATTGGAAAGCGCACTATCTTCCGTATTGCGCATATGAGATAACATTATCTTGAATATGTTTAATGCGATTCCCGGAGAGATCGACCGCACACGCATCATCGGGTTGCTGATAGTTCGTCCATTTCCGGAAAATAATATGGCAGGCGATGGGCTTTTTCTCCATGTTTGGGGTAACCAAAGCAAAGGCTTCGGCCCTTTTCTTTCCTTCCAGGTTTTTTGTTTGTGCGCCCCTTGCTTCTTTTTCCCGGGCTCAGGTTGCTTTACTTACCTCTTAAAAACACAACTTTTCAACTTTTTGGGTAACATGGGCTATATGTCTGTAAAAAGATTAACTTCCCCAGGGCTTGGAGTTTTAAGGGGTAAGTTTAGGGCTCTCTCGTTTTCGCGGAACTCCGCCCGCGGCCTCTTCGCCCACGGAGCGTGGAGCGTTCCGAGGCTGACACTGGTGGACAGCATCCTGCAAATGCCCGAGGCCGAGATCGAGGAGGCGAACTCCACCGTGGAGGAGGCGCCTCCGGCCCGACGTTGTCTCTTTTTCGCCGATTTTCTGGGGGGCGATGTGGGGGGGGGGGGCAAAAGCTTTGGTGTTGTTAAACGGATTTTTATACCCCAGTTTGTGAATACGAGGGTAGATCCTGGTTTTAGTGGGGGAATTTCTAACTTTTGAAGGGGAACACTTCCATTTTTTAGCAAACAGGGTGTTTTGAATCCGGGGTCAAGGTTACGCATGCTGCGATGCCTCACCCTGCTGTTGTCGGAGATGAGTTCGCGCTGGACTTTTTGTTGAAACCAGCCAAAGCAGGGGCAGTTGGGTGCCTAAGGTCTCAAGGAGTTGGAGCCTCGAAGAGGGTGGCTTCGTTCTTTCTCAGCTTCCCCAACGCCAAGCTGACAAGGGAAGCCTCAGAGGCACACAGACCCATTGCCTCTTTTTGGCTCCTCTTTGGATGCAACTTGTGACCCACAGCCTCAGCTGATGTGATAAGCTGCTAGAGGCCCCTAGGCTGAAAAGGGTCGCCTTAAAACACGCACTGATCCGTCTCGCGCCTTTTGGGGATCCCTCTGATGGACTCGTGGCATAGACTTTCCATCGTCTTTGGTGGGGGATTCGGTGGAGCCAGGGAGGCTGGAAGTGGGCGCAAACGAGGTACATCCCGCAGTACATGACCGTGGGACCCAAAACAAAGCCCAGCCAATCACTCCTAGAGCCTTTCTTGCACGCGAAGTTTCGCAGGCTCCTTTCGTTGCTGCATTTTGCCAAGGGATGTTAGGACTTTAACTTTTTGCCTACGAATGGGTTTTCCGTATTAAGCCACTAAAAGTGAGTCACTTTTAGCAGGGCAGCAGAAAGCAACCGAGTTTAGGCATTTTGAGCTGGTGAAATCTGGTTGGGTTCTGGTTGGGTTTCCATTTGACCCACTAGACCGTTATGCACTTTTAGCAGGGACACCGGGTTTCGCCGTGACTAAAAGAAGCGCCGGCTCATTTGGCCAGGCCAAAGCGGAGGCAGACGCAAAGACGAAGCAGTGTGCGACCCCCGAATCTCAGGGATTCGGCTTTGGGGTGACCTGTGTGGAACGTGAACCTTCGATTCATCTGAGACCTGGCTGGCTTGTGTTAGGTCGATTTCCCCAAAAATGGTGGTTGTCCTTTGGGCAATCCATTCAAAGCTTCAAACAAGGCGTGCCCACAAGAGAAGACAAGCACCCACCTGGCTGGCGAGTCGTTTTTTTCTCCTTCTCCCACCTTTGACGTTGGTGACAAATTTGCCGTCCAGAAGGTTACGACCAAAGGGAGGGGTTTTTCTGTTTCGAGCCCCACCCAAGAGTTGATTCGCCCCCAGGCCAGGACTTCCTGATCGAGCACGGGGCGGCCATGAGAGTTCCAGACCAGCCGGGGTCCAGGTCTGATCCGGTTTTTGGAGTTCACCTCATTGCTTCAGTCATCCCCTGAGGTAGTTGGTGGTTTGGATTGGTGGTTTGGATGTGGATTGGAACCGTGGGGCTTTTGTAGAGGGTAAAAGGGACACCACCCCTAACCTAGTCACGAAGCCGATTTACACCATGACTTGTTGTTATTTGTATTCATTGTCAGCTACCTGTTATTGTTTTGTCCTGACTGCCCATAAATCCACACGGCAGATCCCATTGGAATGCATATCTTGTTTCAAGATACACAGGAAAAACCGCCTGAGGGCGGGTTTTGGTTCAGAGAAGTTTCGTATTTTCCCTGAGATGTTCTCGAGTTCGCGATGTTTGAAGGGCAAGATGGAACCCTGCACATGGTTCCCCGGATGCCATTTTTTTTTGGAGAGAGATGGTAGGCCCATTAGTCAGAGGAGTGCCCGAAGCCCCGAAAGGCAGTTCTGAGTGGGAATCTCAACCATCCCACCATGTCTTATATGTCAAGTGGGAACGGGTGTGGAGTCGGCCTGGTGAACCATCCCGGCAGAACCGAGGGAATGTGCTTTTTGGGTAGTGTCAAAATAACGCCCCCACCCAACAAGACATCTGAATTTTCCTTTGGGTTTCCTTTGCACCAAGGTGAAAGGGTAACCTCCCAAGAAACTCCCCGCAGATTTAGACCTGCCAAGAAACTCCGACCAACATGAGAGTTGGACGTTTCTTTTTTGAAGGTTGAACCCCTATGTTTCCCTTTGTGGCCTACCCACAAAGCGGGTGTTCAACTGCAAAGAACAACGAGCCGCCCATCTCCCTTTTCGGAACCCCCAAAAGTGAAGCCCAAACAACCTCCCCCCCCCCCCGAAAAACGGGTAGCTACTTTTGTCTTGGCCCCACTCAAAAAAAAAGAAAGCAGGCAACGCTCTTCGAGGGAAAGTACTGGCCAAAATTGTGTTGCGCCCGCCCGAAAGGCGCTCGACGCCATGGTAACCCCTCCCCCCCCCTCCCCCCTCCCCCTTCCCCCTCCCCCCTCCCCCCCTCCCCCGCGCCAAGCGCCAAACCGATCGAACGGTAAGCCGAGGTCAGTGATTGAGAGCCTCGCCAAGCTCAACGAGCGGCTTAAGGTGACCACAACCTCCAAGGCCTCGTTCGCGAAGTTAGGAGGGGGGAGGTTCCTGGGAAAAGGCCCCGGAGGAAGGCATGGGAAAAGGTCCCGTTTTGGTTTGCTCAAAAGATAAAGGGCCCTGGTTTAGATGGGGTGTATTTCGTTTACCAGGGCCAGCTATTTTTCCAAAAGTCCACCTATGGACTATGGATGAATGTTGACCACATATTGATCGCCCCAGCTTATTAATACTCTGGATCCAGGGGGCGGGGCCCAAGGCTCCCTAAGGAACCCCAAGGAACCCTGCGGATGGTTGCGAAGTCCGCGAGTCTCGCCACGAAATGAATCCATGGTTGGATCCATAATGTTGGCATATTGGAATCGACTCATTCTGTTGGGTTTCTGAACGGTGGTGCCTAAGAGGATTTCGTCCACGTGGTTTTTACACGTATTTTTATCGACCTGGTGGAGCTGGTGGAAGGACTCCGCGCTGCGGGGTGTCGCCCAAAAACGGCGTCCCCGTGTTTTTCCGTGCGGCTCGCAGGTCACACAGCAACCAAGCCATGAGGGGAAACCTGTGCCCGCTTTGGGACCCAGAAGCCATCCCATTTTTATTGAGAGGGGCACCTCTCTTTTTTTTGAACATCAAGTACGGATTTTCCAAGCGAGCTTGAAATGAGATTCAATCACGCAAGCATTCCATGCCTTGCATAGCAAAGTGTTGATTCCAATCACATTCTAGAAGGAAAGTTAATTTTTATCTAATTTTGGAAGGTACCTCCTATCTAAATCATGCCTTCATGCTTATCTGATTGGATTTAGGAAGGAACTCCAACTTAAATGGCACTTTCAAATCCAACCATTATTGACAGATTGTATGTCCTTGCAAGGTTTTGACTTAGGTTCCAATCATATCTTATTGGAGCTGGCATTTTAATATTTTTACCCGGCTTCAGTTTCCTAACCTGAGCCTACTCAATTGTTCATGAAGCGGGAGCTGAGCCAAGCCACTGGAAAGTGTACCAAACAAAATGAACGTGCGCGTGGCAAAAGTAGGTTCTTGTAAAACACGGTGCTTTTCAGCATGTTTCCTGTCATTTTGCTGCGCTTAGAAAGGACGAATACTGTCGTAACGACCCAGAAGTGCCCCCTGGCGAAGGGGGGTTCACAAAAGAGCAGCTCCAGAAAGCACAGAAAAGGTAGGGCAACTCAAATCTTCAGACCATTTTGTTTGGTCTTTTTGCTTTTACTTAAGGTGCTTGTCTTTGGGGGGAACACGTTTCCCCTGGCAGGTTTGTTCTTGTTGCTCCATGCTTTGTTTGTTTTTGGACCCCCAAGGCTGAGGAATTCATAGCCTCAAAGCCTTCAGGCCGGACAAGATCGGAAAGGAACCGTGATGCGTGGCTCATGCAAGTGCTTCTTGACGGAAGGCAAGCCTTGGAATCCAGCTTGGCGCTCGGATCTCGAGCTGCAGAATCTCTCAGGCAACATATGGCCTTCCCAAAAAAAGCCAACAAAAACACACGAGGGAAGAAACACCCCAGCATCCGAGGCGTCTGGGTAGATATCCGATACATGGTTTGGCCAGCCGAGCAAAGGCGTAGCAGTTGACCGCATGTCCTTGGTCCAGAAAATCAGCGTTTGAAGGTTCATTCCCCAAGCGCTGAAGGTTCATTCTCCATCCGCCATGGGCACAGGAAAGTGTCCTGGTGAAGTGCCGAAATGCCAAGAACAAGGCTGAGAAGAAAGCCCAGGCCGACACCCGAAGAGAAGGGGAATCGTGTGTGCTTCCCCAGAATTGCTTTTTGCTTTTTGCTTTTTTGGGGTCCCCTTTGTTTCCCACTAACCAGGCAAAAAGTATAGTTGTTTGCTGGGGTTCCAGTTCCAGCCAAGAGTGTGTGTGTGTGTGTGTGGTACGGGGGTTCTAGCAGCTGGCCGGTCTTTTTAAATCCTTTTTTTGGGAGTCCTGAGTCTGGGGGCGTTCTTTGGGTTATCAAAGTCAGAAACTGGGTTGGTGTCCCTTTAACCTAGCTTGGGGGGGTGAAACCCTAGGCCCTAAACCTTTGATACTGGTAGAACAGTGGGGCCAGTTGGTGGGCTTCCCCAGCAAAATCTGGCTTCCCACTAGCGCGGCCGAGGGCTGCCAGTCTTTTGCCATCGCTGATGAACTGACTCCCTTGCCTTGGTTCCGGGGACAGGAAGGAGGCAACGAACTGGCTTGGCTTTGGTGGTACCGGGAGTGGGGAAAAGCATTGGGTAGTCCTTTTTGAAGCAGCCGCAAACAGGATACCAACACAAGAAGATGCTCTGCAGATTGCATCGGAACCCAGAAAGGCATGACTTGAAGAGGAAGCTCTCGTTTTTCTTCTTCCTTTTTCCAATTTGTTTGATCGTTTTTTTTTTTTTTTTTTTTTTTTTTAAAAATTGCGAACATCATGGTGCCGATTGCTGTTGCAACCAAGGGTTTCATTCTCTCACTGCCCCAAGTCCAGGATATCGGTGAAAGCAACCAGGGTGCAAGTCCATTCCAACTGGTACGGTTGGGTGACAGTAGATGGCACATGATGGCACAATCTTCATTTAGGCTTAGGCACTCACTTTGCGTACCCGCATGCAAGGAAATTGCGCCATCCAGTTTCACCCTGTCGTAAACCAAGCTTCCCTTTTTGGAACCTCCAAAACTGGCGTTTTCAGTGGAAGCGGCCAAGAAAATGAAAGAGCCTTTGGCAAGGGGAAATCTAGGCAGCCCCTGTCAAACGTCCCTTTGGTAGGGGACACACACCAGGCGGCCCCTGTCCAACGTCGATTGTTTTTGGAGCGCGGCTGGTCGCTGGAGTCCTGGTGTTCCCTGGGCCCTTCGCTGGTTTTCTCCCGGCGGAAACTCGGCGGCGTGGAGGCCAAGAAGGTGATGGCGGCGATCGCCGCCAAGTTCAAGTCCTTCGACGCCAACAAGGACGGCCACTTGGACAAGAAGGAGATCATCGCCTATGCGAAGAAGGACTGCGAGTTTTTGGTTGTGGAGAATTGTGTTGTGGTACATTGGATTATTTTATTTATTTAGTTTTGTGTGGGGGGAGGCGAAAGGTGAAGGGTGAGGGGAAAATGGCCTTGGGCGCCTTGATGAAGGATTTCAGAACATACGCAGGAGTTCAAGTTCACCATGAAGGACGACGTGGCGACGAAGGTTTTGAAGGCCGGTTCGGGCGGGGTGGGAGATGGAACTATGCATGCGTGACTGTAGTCCTTTCCTGGTTTAGCTTGGTCTTCCAATGATGTGATTGTCGCTTTCGGAGGATGCCCCACATAAATTATTTACGAGGGAAGGAGGACGCCTCCGAACAAAACCCCTGCGATTCTCTTCCGGCGAACCTGTGGGTGCGGCACTTTGCCCCCCAGTTCTTCCCCAGAATTAGTTGCCCTTTGTATTTTTGCTTTTTGGGGGTCCCCTTTGTTTTCCACTACCCCGGCAAAATGGCCATTTTTTTTAATCCGGGCTCGGATTTTCCCCCGCCTCGGGTTTCGAAGCGACGCCCGGCTCCGCGGCTCGGTCACCCGGGGCGTTAGCGGCGAAAAGCGCAGCGCAGGCCCTGCAGGTGGGCGCCAAAGGCGTCCCCGAGAGCGACTTCCAAAGGCTCAAGGCGCGGCAGACAACTCGGATTTTACACGACTCGGCCGGGGCGGAAGAGAAGAAAACCACTGCTCCGTTTTTTTTTTTTTTTTGCTGACCGAAACAGGGTTCTCCAGAAACTCGACACACCCATACTGTGGGCGGAGGAAATCCATTTCGCACAACTTGGAAACCATGGCTGAAACCATTGTTGGTTGGCATTTAGAGGGGAATCAACACATTCCAGGGTTTCTGAACGGTGGTGCGAACGGATTTCGTTTGTCAGCACTTTTGGTTTCTGAAGTGGCGCCATGGTCAAAACAGCAAAGCCGACGTGGGCCTTGCAAAGCCTGGCCCTGGAGCCATTGATTGCAAAAAACGAACCGCAAGGTTCTATGAAGGGAGCCGGACCAACAGTTGGCCACGGGCAGCTTTTCTGTTGATTTGCAACTTGAGCGTAAAGGCGTCCTTCCTGAGACGCATCCCTTTTCGACGTCAGAAACCTGTTTGGGGCGTGTTGAACTTGGGGATCTCGAATGGGGACCCTTGACCTACCTCAGCGGCAATCAGAGGGGCAGAGGAAATCGGGAGCTGTTGATTGGTCGTTTTGGGCAGGTTTCATGTAATTGGAAGGTCCTTTGTCATGGACTGAAGCTGAATAGAAGAAGCACAAGATAGAATTATAGAATCGATTGTGTGTTCACTTTGGCGCAGGGTTGTGGGATCACAGGGGTTTATCCCCACGTCTGGTGATACAAGGTTGAATCCCCTCTTTCAATGGCGGGGTGGTCTTTGGGGGACCTTTTTCTTGGATCACAGTGGGCATTTCCCACAGCCCTGCTTTGGCGAGAAGGGATCACAGCCCGCGCTTCTTGTCCAATGCCTCTAAAGGATCACAGGTTTCTGGTGACTTCTCAGGTCCCAGGAGTTGGAGCACCAATTTGTGAGTGCTACTCGGTGGTCTTCCCCTTGTTAGAAAGGACGGCCCGTGCTGGGCGAACGGCTCCTCCGGGCGAGTAAGTGTGAGCCTTCCTTTTCGGCCCCGAAGGCCCAGAGCGTCTTGAGCGCTGGTAGGTACGCATCGGCATCTTGCGCGAGAAGGTGAAGGACGCCGCTGGGGGGGGGGGCCTTTGGCGATTCGAAAATTCGGAGACCCCCGGAAGCCGAAGCAGTCGTGGGAGGGGATCAACATAATAGTTGACCCCGGATGAATAGACCCGTCCCATGATTAGGGGGGTCTGAACCCAACCACTAAAACCAGGGACACCCCCCCATCAAAATCAACCCAGGGGTTTCTAAACCCCGGGGTCGACATTAGTTAACCCAATCGGCCCAGAAGGAGATCCTCCTTCAAATGGCAGGAGCGGTGTGCCTGAGGCTCCTCGCCCCTTCTTCGAAAACCGTTGTCCAGTTTTTTTTTTTTGGGGGGGGGGATGTGAAAAATGCACGGCCAAATGGAAGCTAACCAGTGCTCCCCCATGAGGACACAGGACTTTCGGGAATCGTGTCACTTCACGGTTCTTGGCAAGTTTTTTTTATTGGTTCCTTTCATTTTTGGTAGGGCGTTCAAAAAGAAGCAAACAAAAACCTGCTACCATGCCAAGGGTGGTGAAAAGATCCTCTGAACTGGGTGTATCCATACTGTGGATGGACGAACTCCATTTCGCGCCACCTAAGAACCCCTGGACCCCTTGAATGATTCGATTCACCTGTAAACACCCAGAAACCTTCTGGTTTCAACCATGGCTTCATTTCGTGGCGCGGTTCGTCGCGGATTTCGCCAGCATCCATCCACAGAGTCAGCTTGGGGGAGCTTCGGGGACGAGAGGACGACGAGAGGAGAAAGGTGCGGGAGGCGCGCGAGGTGGAGCTCGAGGGCATGAAGGAGGGTCGCTTCTTGGGAGGGGAGGGGCTCAAAGGCTGAGGGAAGGTAGGTCCATGTCATAGATGGCCCGGAGTTTTTTTTTGTTCTTCTTTTTTTCTTCTCATTTACCAGGGGCCGTTTTTTTTGAAAGTCCACCTATGGTCCATATGTGAACCCATAGCCATTTTGGATCCTTTGGCCAGTTGATGTCCCATGATTCAGCCATCACTAACGGGTGGTCTTCAGGCACGACCCTTTTACTCGGAGCTGGGAACAGCCCAGTTACCTCAGTTGCATCCAGTTGTATCCATGAGTGAGGTTGGTACTTGGTATGGTGCTACAACGTCGGATGTGACCTTTTGCTCAGCCCAGCTGCCGAAGCGACCGGATCAATCGAGCTTTTGGTTTCCACAGGTTGGGTTCCCATTTTCTGGGTCCCTAAGGGCCAAGCAACTGAGTTTGGTTTCCCTTTGTGGCAAAAGCAAAGGCAAGCTACATCGAAGTGGGGAGCAAGTTTGACTTACTCCGTGATTGCGACGCATAGGGTGCCTGGCGGCTCTTTTGAAAGTGCCGCAAGGAATATTTCAGGCTCGAGCCCGTTTGCGGAGGTCTTTTTCGTTGCCCCCCCCCCCCCCGCTCCCCACCCGGGAATTTTCCATGTGCGTCAAGCGGCAACCCATTTTTCTTGTTAGAAGACAAGGCTTTCTCGACTCTGGAGGTTAATGTATCAGGGCGCCCTCCCAAAATAGGTCCTTATAAACGAGTCCTTTACGCATCCGGAAGGACCCCACTTGTTAGAACCCATTCAGGGTCAACCAATATATGGCCGTGGCTCAAAATTAAACAGGGGGGGTTACGCGGGTTTTGGTCCATGTTTCCACTTACCAGGCTTTCATTTTGGTACCGGTTTTTTGAGCCACAGCCAAAGGTTAGGGTCCATTGATAATCAGTGGAGTTCACTCACCTTCAGATTTCTTGGTGGCTCCCAGCCATCCCCTTAGCTTTATAGCCTTTGTGTGTTTAGTGGTAGAGTCCATTTAACCCGCAAAAAGTTAAGCTTTTAGCTGGGGATTTGAGGGCCGCCCAGATTTGTGGCCTTTTCAACAAGTTCGCATGTGGTCTGTTGGGGGAAAAAGGGGGGGGGGCTGACCCCAGGATGAGCTCAAAGAGAAGATCGCAGAGGTCGAAGGCAAGGTGGACGCCGTGGAAGAGGCTGTGAAGAAGGCACCGCCATGACCTGGAGAGATACTGTGGATGGTTGCGAAATCCTCAGTTGTTCAGTGGCACACTTTTTCGATTTTTTTTGGGTGGCTGCCCCACTAAAAATGGTCTTCACCCCTTACGGCCGTGGGTTATAACCTCCATACCCCTTTTCGGCTGGTTTTAGCCGGACGTGTTATGGTCTCCACGGGACGGCTGAAGCAGTTCCGGTGGTACCTCAGATTTGAACCGCCCTCGCGTTTCTCCATACCATTGCTGTGGGTGGACAAAATCCATTTCGCACCACTTTGAAGCCATGGGACACCATTTGTTGTTGGCATTTGCAGAGGAGTCATCATTCCAGGGTTTCGTAGGTGGTGCAGGATTCTCAGTTGTTCAGTGACCCTAGCACCCCCCCCCCCCCCCAAAAAAAGAAGAGGAACCCTTTCTTGGGGGCTCCCAGCCATCCGGTTCCGTAGCTTTTTACCCTTTTAGTGGTTAGTGGTAGTTTCCATTCAACCCACTGAAAGTTAGTCAGACTATAGCGGGGCATCAGAAAACGGGCAGCCCAGGAAGCAAAGGGCACCTGAAGCGGAGTTACAAGGGGGAGCCGTCACTCTGCCGCAAAAAATCAGCCTTCAGGTGGAGGCAGCCCTGGAGGGAGTCGGCAAGGCAAGGGGAAAATTCGTTCGGAAGAGGATCATTGGTGCTGGGCTCCCATTCGACTGGGACCCGTAAAGGGTCGCCTTTTGCGGGTCGCCTCCGTTTTGACATGAAGGAGGCTGTGCTCGTTGATTGTTTTTTGGGAAGGACAATCTTTGGTTTCCCATCTTTTTTGGTGCTAACCCCATACATCTGGTTGCTTTTCACCCAGCTAACTGTCAGGGGACGAATATTCTCCTATTTCTTTCTGGCTCTCCAAAAACTCCGTTGGAATCCGCAAGGGATGGTTTCATGGGGAGTATTTCCAACTCGCTCCCTGACCAACAAGATTCGCAAGCCAGCGGTCCTTTTTTGCCGCTCGCGATTGGCTTGGTTGCAGGTAGAGACCCTGAAGTGACTTGGCTGCACGGGGGTGTTCGACGCGGGTTGAAGCACCGACTGGAATGGCGCCGTTTGACTTTGCTTTTGGTGGGGTGTCTTTAGGTTTAAAAGATAGGGAACCTGAAGGTTGCAAAAAGGAACTCTCGGCCAGCTGATGCGACTGGCGACGCAAGTCGACTCGAAATCGACTCGTTCCCAGCTCGTATGTTAGGTCCTCGGAGTTGCGGAGCAAAAGCGAAGAGGCAGGGCTGCGACCTTTGATTTTTGTGTGTCCTGTTTGGGGGTGACCCCTCCAGAAACGGCAAGGGTTTCCTTTGGGTTTCCCTTTAACACCACCAAAAAAAAAAAAAAAAAAAAAAACAACAAAACAGGGGAATCCCTTTCTGGTGCACTCATTTCTTGAGCTTCTCAAAGTGCCACTTTGGGTGCCACTTGCGTTCGGCGGGGCCATTTTCAGTATTGCACAGAGGATGCATTTCGGTCGAGTTTTTGCCATACCCAGATGGATGCAAGAGTTGTCAATGCTTGGTGGGTGGAAGAAGTGGATATGGTTGGGTTGGCGTGACCTAACCCTACATTGCATGAAGCACGGGATGCCAGTTTATACCCAGGGGCATGTAAGGGTTGCATAAGTGGTATGTAGGATGTGGAAAAAGGTGTATGAGCAGCATATGGCTCCACACCACTGCGCATGTGCGACTTTTTGCTGCTCGACACCCGGTTCAGGTTGGCTGACAATCCTGCCCAGTGTTCTGTTCCAGCTTGCCAGGTGTTGCCCGTTCTTTCAGACGCCTCGCATTTTTTCCGATGGAGAAGAGTAGGACATATCTTTCGATGCCGTTTCCTCGAAGGGTCCCAGGGTCAATCTTATCATATCTCATCCATGTGCTTTTTCGGTTTTGATCTCGAGGATTTGGGATTGAAGGCGAGCCCTGTAGCCCTGTCTTGCCTTTTCACGAAACTAATCAGCCACGGCCACCTCATGGCTGATTTCAGATTGCCGCCGAGACTCAGCACATATCTTTTGATCTGCTGACTCGGCTTGGGAAAAGCGGCCCGCATGGATCTGCGCGATGGCCTCGCCAAATCCGCGGCAAATCCAGCTGAACCGCCAGCTCACCCACGCGGGCCCGAAGGAAATCCTGCAGGCGGGTCAACGCATATCCAGCCCCGGGGCTCCCCATACCTTTGGCGCGTTTTGCTTGGATGTTAGGACTCTAACTTTTGGCCAGCTCATGGGTTTTCCGTATTAAACCACTAAAAGTTAGTCACTTTTAGCAGGGGAGCAGAAAGCGACCGAGATACTGCGGGGTGTTTTGCGACATCTGTTTTGTGAGGCACTACCGTTCAGAAATCCAACGGACTGATTCGAGTCCCCTGTAAATAGCAACAAACAATGGTTTCAACCATGGTAAGTGGTGCGACCTGGTTTTCGTCCACCCGCAGTGTTGCACGAATTTTTGGTTTGTAAATTCCGTTAGAGGCAACTTGGGGTGAGTTCTTGTGGACTCCCGCCTTTCCTTGATAAGGGGAGTATGAAACGGGCAGGAGTCCCCCAGTCAGTTTGGGCTGACACCAAATCTAGTGATGATCGAGTCAGGTTGGCTCTTCGGGCCCCGCAGGTAACGACTCTGTCCAATGGAAGGGGAAGGCGGATAGCGTCGGCTAGATATTCACCGAAGTACGGTTGCCGGCATATGGGTATGGCTCAAAAAACCGGTACTAAAATGGAACCCTGGTAAGTGGAAACATGGACCAAAACCTGCGTAACCCTAGCTCTTAAATTTTGAGCCACAGCCATATAGATTCCTCGAACCGTGGTGGTCAACTCCCAAGTGGCTTTGCTAAAGCTAAAGGAGCGGCGTGCTGGGAGTTTCAGGAGGGGTGCCTAGTGCAACGGGCAAGAAGGGAAGTGCATGGAGAAGGAAGTTTCGTATTTGGGGAACTTCAGCAGGGCTCCTTAAAAGATACATTTTGCTCACTTGAAACATGGCTTCTTCCACCAAAACAAAGGGAACCACCATTTACAAGGCATTGTTCAGGTGTATTCACTGTAAGGATCCCTGTTCAGGCACGTGGTTTGGTGGGTGCCCTTGGATTCGTGGTTTGGACATGGCTTTGACCCCTTGGTCCACCCCCAGAACAGCTGAGACCACCAATCGAAGCAGACATCGATGAAACGTCCCAGGAAAGCGGTCGTCCAGGTTTGGGAGAGGCCGCCTATTCGGAGATTCGGAGATTCAGGCCAACAGCCCCTGCCAGACAACTCGATGTTGTTAGTTTTCAACGGGCGAACTCCTTGTTGTGACGATTTCAGCTTAATTTTCCGTGAAGGGACCGTGGTTGAACCAATCTTGCTTTGCGCAGGGAGATGCAAGTTTACCAGTTCACCCTCCTCTCTCTATCCACACGAGAGTTCCGAGCTCATGCTATGCAAGCGTGATGTAACCTCCGTACTTGCAACCTTGCATCCACAGAACGGGGAACCTGTCAAAGATGGTATGTGGACATGAGTCCCCGCACATGTGTTTTCCGCTCAAAGCTCACCTTCATCTTGTTTTCTCCCCCCCGGCAGAAAGGCAAACGGACCCTGAAACTATCTGAATTTCTCCCAGCCCAGCAGCCCAGAGAAATCCGAAGCGTCCGAAGCATAGGTGTCCTTTTTGGTTGTTCTGCTTAAAAAATAGGAGGCCCTGGTTTAGCTGGTGGTTCAATCATCTACCAGGGAAACCCATCTACTTTCCAACAAGGACACCTATGGTCCGAAGTGTCCGCAGGTTGTGAAGGCGAGCCTCCAGGAGTTCAATCTGGCCGGATGCCCGGGGTTCGGTGGGGTTTCGAGCCCGCGGCCTGCGGCCTGCGGCCTGCGGCCTTACGCCTTGGGTCCGTGGACTTTTTTCCGCCGTCTTCCACATGGAACCGGCAGAGGTGAAAGGACAAGAGTCCGAACCACTCGAAAACGTGAGGTTTTCCAGGCCAACGGGCAGGAAAGGGTATATAGCTTTTTGGGAAGACGGTTTGAGTGGTGAACAGAAAGTGCAGACCATCTTTGGCCAATCTACTCAGGAAGCGGGTGGGTGCAGTTTTTCAAGAGAAATCCAACACGTCCGAGAACAAATACCTTGTTGCGTGCGGGCGGTTAAGGCCCGCGGACAGAGGCGGGACAGAGGCGTGTGGGCATCCAGAAATGGCAGTGTTCCTTTCGAACCACACCCCAGAATGGCACCCTCCCTCCAACAATCATGGAATCGGACAGGGGGATTTAGAAGACTACTTTCCTTCAGCAAAACATGTAGCGGCAAATGCAATCGCTCGTTACGTATGTGAATTGGATCATGCTTCCAGTTGTTCGGTCCATCTCTAGTGTATATTTGACCTGTCTTCTCGACCTCTCTAAGTCCACTTCCATGAACGCGCACGTAGACAAGAGAACCACTGTGGATGAACGAAATCCTGCACCACCTAACGACACCCATGATTCCCCTGTAAATGCCAACCAACAGTAGTTTCAACCTTGGTTTCCAAGTGATGCGTAATGGACCTCACAACCATCCACAGTACTGTTTGAATAGTAGGGGGCTGCAAAAAAAAACACAGCTTTGTTCTGCCATCCCAAGTGATACGAAGAAGAGAGGCTGCCCTCAAAAAATGGGGAAGGTACCCCCTGAAGGTCCAGACGGTCCAGACCACCAACCAACCCCTGAGGTCCAAACCACCAAATCCCCTAAGGTACTCCCTAAGTAGAAGGAGGCTGACACAAAGACGCCTTCACCAGCCACGTTTCGCCGAGGTGAACTGCACCACTGCGCTGCACCGCTACGCCAAGGCCCGGGACGCCTCTGGCCGCGCCTCGGCCTGCGACGGGCGGGAAAAAAGCGCCTTCCGCTTGGACACCTCCGAGCCATTTTCAGAGTTCTGTTTAAGGTAGCTTCGCAGAGGAGCACACCCAGCCTAAAAACATCATCTACCCCCCCCCCCCCCAGTTGGACAAGTTTCACCGAGAAAGTGATTCCCAGATTCGACTCAGGTGATGGCAAGAAGAGCAGCAATGCCGGCACCAGTGCCGCGCTGGAAAGGCTACTGGCGAGGACGGCGGAGCTTTGCAGTGGCAAGGCTCGCAGCCCAGTCATCCCTTCCGTGCGAAGCGCCCTCACGCGGGGGTTTGCAGTGGCGTACAGCTTTTGAAGGTTTTGGCCAAAATAGGAGTTTCTAATGCTGGCCCCGGATTCATCAACAGGTTCTATCAATAGGAGGTGTTCTCCTCCAACAGTGGCTCGTTTCCCACGAAACCCCGGGACAGCCTGTATTGCCACACTGGGGTGGATGAATCCGGCTTTCCCGTGGCCTCCGAAAGGACTTTGCGGTCCCTTGGCAGAATGCGTGGGCCAAACAGCCAGACCTGGCCCGACAGGTTGTGGAAACAATCATGGGGTTGACCAATCTGGGTCAACATGAATGTTTTGAACCGCATGAAGGGGTCGTCTTTTTTGAGGGGCTGCTCATTTTTGTGCGTATCTTGTGTTCGACCCGCTTAGGTCAAAGGCTGATTGGATCTTGGTCCATATATGAACCCATTGGGGTTGGTTTGAAGGAGAACCAAACATCTTGAAACCCACCGCTTGGGGTTCCCGGAGAGGAAAAACAAACAAACACAAAACAAAAAAAGAAAGCAAAAACAGAAAACCCACCGCTCGGGGTTCTCGAAAAAAAAAGCTACTTCCCGGGTTCCAAGTGGAAACCTCCGGCAAGTGGAAAGCCCCGCCGAAACCTTCGCGAGGCGCCGGCCCAGAACCTCGCCAATGCCATGTGGGCGCCTTTTGCGCGTTGTTTTTTCCTATTTTTTTTTTTTTGGGGGGGGGGGAAGTCGCGTAGTTGAACCCTTTGTTGAGAGAGGCCAAAAGACAGATTAACCATATACTAGCTGGAGGTGGGCAGGGAGCCGCTATCCAAATGTGCTTCTAAAGGGAGGTAAGCTACCAGGTTGTCCTGTAAGGATTGGTTGCTATTGTGGATGGCTGCACACTCCGCGAGTCTCGCCACCACGAAAGGAAGCCATGATGGTTGAAACCGTTGGTATTTACAGGGAATCGAATCATTTCAGGGTATCGTCCACCCACAGCATGAGGGAGGCCAAAGAAAAATAAACTATTTTAGGGACTCCTATTTTGAGAACCCGACTTTGAGTTGCCACTTGTTTTGGGGCTTGTGAAGCCAAAAGCCAAATCAATCCGCAAGAATCTCTTGGGGCAAGTGACCCCCCCTTCACCCGTTGGGGCTTCTGCCTTCTAAACTCGTTGCTGCAGAATTTGATCATCCGAAGTCCGAAGCGACGTGAAACCACGAAAAGTGGGGGCATGCGGCATGCTCGCAATTTGATAGACTCAAGTGTGGGGTGAGGATGGATGACTGGCATTTTATGGGGCAAAGTCACAGGCTCTAGGGTCCTAGGGTTTCAGCTGACAAGATGCAGATCGAATCGTGACAATCCATCCGAACAAATTCTCAACTTCAGGTTGTCGGTGTGGGTTTGTACCCTGAGCATATGCAGGAGTTGCTTGTCCCCCTAGCTGACCCAACATTGGGAGTTCCCAAGCACAAACACACACACTCCCTGAATTCATGGACTTAATACTTGTTGGGAAGACCATTTCAACGGCCAAAAACATCCGCAAATCAGCCGACTTGCAATACTCCCTCAATTTTTTAATCTCAACGGCAAAAACCGCCGGCTCGGACGTTTTCTTCTTCCCGCGCCGCGCGGGGCTAGTGGGCCGTGGGCCCTCGAGGCGGCGGAGCGCCTGGGCCTGGACGCCTCGGAGCCCGCGCTGCGCATCGCCATCCGCGCCCGGGAGGCGCGACGCCGACAGCGCCGGCGGCGGTTTCAGGTGGCGGACGCCGCGGGGGGGAGGAGCCGTGCAATGAGCCGATGCCGGGAGACTTGTTTTTTTCCCTTAGGCAGGGACTCAGAAACCCAACTTGAGACGTGGGATAGGATTCCCCACGGCAAATACCAAGCAAGGTTGCTTCGGTTTCATTTCGTGGCGCGAGATGAATTTCGTGCATCCACAGTATGGCTTGACCAGGTGTTTTGTTGACCGTTTTTTTGTTTTGTTTGTGTCTCCAAGGTTTCAAAAGGTGGTTGGTCATGGGATGTGCCCATAAATGTTTTTTTTTGGTTTTGTTTTTTGCGACGCCCACTAAATCGGTTGGTTTCCTTTTGGTTTTGGCGTGGCTGTTTGTAGGGTTCGGACCCTCGATGTTTCCATTAGTTTCCCTTTAAACCATCAAAATGGTACCCTCCAACAAATGGATATACCCTGACCAGTTGCTTTTGCCCCAGGTAGCTGAAAGCTATAGCGTTCTTACTTCTATCGAAGGTAGGTGGCTCCAACTCTTAAAAGCAGGTATCCACATCCATATTTGGTTTCGACCATGGATATGGCCCCCGTCGCAAAGTGGTTGGCCTATTGCCGGCCAAGGCAGCTATGAATCGTGGATCCTTCGGACACAGCGAAGAATAAATATGGATATGACGTGACCATGGATACTTTGCGAGGTCTTAAAATGCAGAGATCTATATCCATATTAGGTATTGACCATGGATATGGCTACGGATTTTGAGAGCTGGTCTTTGATGGCCATGAATCCCCACCGACTCCACCAAAGAAACCCAACACCTAGCCGTTTTTCTTTTGGTTTCCCTTTCAACCCCCCCCCAAGAAATAATAGCGCGCGCCCATCTAGTCTCAGCTCTTTTATTTTCCTGCTTGGATTGGTGTCGCCGAAGTCTCTCCGAGAGGCGCTTTCGCGGCCAGAGCGGCTCTGGCAGTTCACTGGGCAGAACCTGGTGCCTGGCCAATCCAATCGACGCGATGCTGGTTGTGGGGCGGGGGGAGAGGGGGTGAGTAGGAACTTCTACAGGAAATTCGATTTGCTTAGACTGGGCGTATCCAAGGCTTATCCAAGGCTTATCCAAGGCTTGTCCAAGGCTTATCCAAGCTTAAATTGGGCTTATTTTTGTTTAAAAAAGGCTCAAATGCGACTTAAACATGCTTAAATCCCACTTAAAACGGCTTAGGCCAGATTCCCAAAACCTTCCTAATCTAACTTCCTGGAGAATCTCCTGGAGATTGTTTCTTTGAGCTATGGATTCTTGCGGGTACATGATAAACACCCCTTGGGCTTTCCCAGCTGAGCAATGATATCAAGACCCCCAAAGGTATGTCCAGGTATTTTGGGGAAGTGAGTGGCTAGTGGGAAGGCAGAAATGTGCAGCCCGAACACCCAGGGATGTTTGAGGGGGGGGCTGTGTCCTTTCTATTTTTTCACATGGCCTCAGAGTCCATGTGGCAGCCGAGAGGATGATTCTTGGCCTCATGAGCTTGCTCACGAGCTTGCTATTTTGGGTGTGTCGCGCTGTGGGATGAACGATCACAACTTGAGAGGTTCCAAAAAGGGACGTGGAGTGGACGGTTGCGATTTCCTTCTTGCCACCCTCGCCGGGGTTTCGATTTCTTCTTTCGGCCTCTACAATAAACCCCCAAAATTGGCGGACTCTTGGTTTCCATCGAACATAGCGCCAGAGGATGGATTCTCTACAGTAAGCGCGAAGTTGGGGGCTGTTCACTGAGACGGTGGCACCCCCCCCCAAAAAAAAATGGTCAAACTCAGCTTCCAGATTGGTTCATCAACTTCAGGACAGCCCATAGGAACCAACCCAAAGTAGCCTTACCTCTTAAAAACACAACTTTTCTCAACTTTTTGGGGGTAACATGGGCTATATATGTCTGTAAAAGATTAACTTCCCCAGGGCTTGGAGTTTTAAGGGGTAAGTAGCCATTGGTGAGTTCAATAATTTTCGGCCTGACTATGGCTAAGCCAACGGCTTTAGTCCAGGCGTACCGTGCTCTGTCCGCCGGGAGTTTCATTTTCCCGATGTGACATGCAGAGAGGTTGGTGTGGCTTTGTTGTTGATGCTGAAGAAAGCAACATTCTCGGGGTGGGTTTTGATGTTGAGACATGCGCATATTTGTCTGCAACACTCGGCATGATGCTCACCAAATGTGTTTTCAGCTAACTAAAGATTCATACCGGTTCCGGGGATGGTAAACCAGGCAACAACCTTTCGCGGCCCCGATGTTGCTGCATCCTTTAAACGAAAAGGCCCCAATGTGTGTTCCTCAAAAGAGGAATCGGTTCCCTTTTTTGGATGATGTTTCGGGGGGAGCCATAAGGACACCAACAATCTTCGGGGTTCCAGCAAGGTGTTGAGTGATACGGATTTTCGGAAATCGGTGGGCATGCAATGAATCTGAAGGGTTGGAAGGTTAAGGGATTTAGGGGTGAGCGCCCGCCCAGTTTGTAGAGGGAGGTCCCTTATGGGGTGCGCCAGCGGGTGTGGGCCAAATCTCCAAGGCGAACGTCACCTGGGCGGTAGCGAGGCTCCTGAGCGGCCGCCGCTCGCTCTGACAAAAGGTGGGACCTCCCCAAAATGATGGAACAGTTGAGACGTTCTTTTCGGCCAGTCCACTCACGATAGGTTTATCATCGCTCCCCCTCAGGTGTGTGTGGTGTTGGGATATTTTGAGTTAGGTCCACAAAGACATGTGCCTACCGGGGGGGGGGTAAATTGCCTTGGCTTTCTAGGTTGGGCTTGATCCAGCTGGGGGATCCAAAACTGGTTGAGGTCCCTTTGCATCGCCAACCCCCGTTTCGGATATCCTTCGAAGGGGTGCGCCAACAGGATGCGCACACAGGATGCGCCAACAGGATGCGCATCTCAGCGCTATCCGTTGGGATTGGGAATCACCCCTGCGTTGTGTTCCATGTTTGACCCTCGGGGATCGCTTTCAGGACGCTGGTGCCGGACTTTTCCTATACTGAGTATCCCCTTTCCCTCCTGTTCTGGATGGTGTACCAGAAGGAATTCAGGTACCCAAGAATTTGTAGGGCTACGTTGTTTGGGGCAATCCTGACATTGCTGGTTTCAAGCATCATCGTTTGGGCAAGCTTGAAGTGAGTTTCCGCGCAGAGAGGTGATGTTTGATGGGGAACTATAAAGAGTCATAGAAGCTAGCAACAGGAAATTCCCGGAAGTCAGCCCAAAATACCCGCCAGCACCAGGGTAGGCTTCCTCTAGAATTTCCACGACGTATGCAGAGTCCAAGCTGTGTGTCCACTCCTCTGATACGAATGTGTCTGTTTCTTGGGGGGACCCCAAAAATTGGTGATTTTCCTTTTCGTTTCCCTTTAAAACCTACCAACAAAGGGTGGCCTTCCGCCTCTTAAAAGGGTATCTGGAAGATACACTTCCTCTTGCAGGGACCCCCAGGTGCTACGGCAACGTGGGAGTCAGGGTAACTCACGGAAAAGGGGCGACATTCACATGACGACTTTCACCTGGGCATTGATCAACCCCATAGCCCGATTCAACCCCTCGCCTTTCGGACTGGCTCAGAGGCAGCGCTGCGCGGCTGCTGAAGGCTGCGGAGGTGCCCAGCAAGGCGGCCTTCTTCGAGCCGCTGCTCGATCCGAGGGCAGAGGGGGGGGGGAGGTGGTCCATTTGGGGCCATTTGGGCGCGTCTCGTTTTTTTTTTTTGGGGGGGGGGTTGGTCTGATTTTTGGGGCGTGAATGTCGAGCTTTGTTGGAAGGTCGGTCGGCATTTTTCTAGGTTTGGGGGCTGCGAACAGACAAGTGCTTTTTAAGTACCATACCAAGGGTTGGAAAGAGGGGTTCCGAGCCATCTCCCTTGTTGGAACCTCCAGGGGTGGCGATCGTTTTGATGAAAACCACCAGTCAGTGGCTACTTCGCCTTCTGGTTGGTCCTTTGAGCAACTGAGTTGCGCAAAGCAGAAATTTGTCAGGTCACATTCCATTGAGAGACTTAGCCTGGACACACCATTTTCCAGCTTGCGGGCCTGTCCGAATCCCGGCCAAGCGAATTGATTCATCGGAGGCCGTTGGGCTCCGCTGAGGTTTCTGGCGGCGCTGGAGCAGCGCGCCTGGGACTTGAACGGCCAGGAGCGAGTCAATCGGAGGGTGACACGAATCGGTCGAATGAGGCCGGTGGGATCTGTGCTCGGTGTTTTTTTCCTTCTTTTTTCTCTTTTTGTTTTTTCCCTCGTGTGTTTTCCTCCTTTTTTTTTTAGTTTGAAAAAAATTAATAAAATAAAATAAAAATAAAAATATGTTTTTTCTTCTCTCCGAAACTCTTTGTGGGTGCCAGCGAACCCCTTTTTTTGCGGACCTTTTTTTGGAGGGGGGGAGCCGAACAAAAAGCGGGCTCATGTTTCATGGAAAATCTGCCCCGCGACATCTCAGGGTCTATGTTGCAACCTTGCTGGTTTGAACAAAAGGGGAACGCACCTAGCCAAACCAGCAAGGGGAAAGGTGAGGAGCGTTCATTCATGGTATCCCTTTCATGGGGATGTATGTGGTGTTCTCCACCAGACGGATCAATCGCCAAATGTCAGCACTTGGGTTTTCCCTTTAACCTGCCACTTGGCACTTGGCACTTGACTTTGGTAAATGAATGGGCCAGCCCTCCCCGCGGATGTTCTAAGTAATGCAAGCAAGTGAAACCTCGCAAAGCTCCTGATTGTCATGTACCACGACTTTATGGTTTTCGCTGGTTTCTTGCAATATCGCAAACGGGGGCTGTGTTTAAGATTCGGACCCCCGTATGTTCTTCAGCTGTCCTTTTGGCCCTTTTGGTTTCCAAACAACCAAAGCTCCCCTCCCGAGTTCCTGGACTCTAGACTTTTCGGGGGTGGGTTCACTTTAGTGGCAAGCAGTTCGCTGGCTTTTGGCCCATCCACTCGATCGGAAGTGAGGATAAAGGTCACACCAACAATTTCCAAACTGGACCAATAAGTAGGCTATCAGCATGGTTAAAAGGGAACCAACCCCAGGTATCCTACTTATAGCCACGGTAGAAAGCCAACATGGAACCTGACGTTCGGGACCCGGTCCCTTCAAAAGGAGAATGGACCAGGACCCCCCCCAATGTCGAACGGTTCCATGTGTTAATTGGTGGAAGGGCAACAAAATTTAACATCCCACCCCCCAACCCCCCATGTTATTTGTGTTTTCCTTTTGGTGCTTTTTGGCTTCCAACCAACCAAAACTCGAAACTCCCTTCCCGAGTTCCTGGCGAAAATCTGGCGCGATTGGAAGTTCGGTTGCCTTTTCCTTGGCTCATCTCGATCGGAAGTGAGGAAACAGATCACACACACACACAGGTCACACCAAATATGTCCGACGAGACCATGGCCTCCAAGGCCCCCCCCGCCCCATGTTCTTCTTGGTCTCGTATCTGCAGGGCTCCTTCTCCATTTGAAACATTGTTTTTTCCACCAAAATAAAGGGAAACCATGTTCAGGTGTATAATGTAAGGATCCCTGCTCTGGTTCCCAACCCAAAAAAGGCCGACACGTGTCCCCCCCCAAACCCCCCCCCCCCCCAAAAAAAAAAAAAAAAAGCCGCCCCGAACGCCCCACGGCCCCCGCTCGCGCAGCTCGCGCGAAGCCAGGAGCTCTCGATGGCCGCCTGGGCGGTGGCGGTGGCGGAGGCGGAGGTGGCGAAAGCCAAGGCGGTGGCCCAACAGCTGGGAGAGGCGCAAGAGGGGTGGAAAAAAAAGGGGGGGGGGGATGCCGACCTGGCCACGTTTTTTTTTTTTTTTTTTTTTTTTTTTTTTTTTTTTTTTTTTTTTTTTTTTTTTTTAATCATGTTTCTCTCTTTTTTTCTTATATATATATATAATATATATATATACACTGTTCTTTTTTCTTCACTTTTGTCTTTTTTTTTCTCCCCGGGTTTTCAGGTTGGAAAGCCAAAAGGAAAACACAATCTTTTGGTTTTCGGGCTGGGAAACGAAGGGAAGCCAAAAGGAAAGCCAAAAGGAAAGCCAAAAGGAAAGCCATTGGGGTTCCCTGATTTTGACACCTGCCCGATCCACTCCACTCCCGGCTTTTCGGGGTCTCAGCGTAGCCCGCCGCGCGCAGGCGGCCCGCGGGAGAGGCGGGGGCCTGGGGGACTTGGCGCCGCAGCAGCTGGCGACGCTGGCCTGGGCGCTGGCGCGCCTGGGCTGCCAGGCCCGGGAGGCGCGGGGGGCGCGGGCACGGGGGGCGCGGGGGGCTAGGGAAGCCCGTGGAAGCCTACCACTTGAGGCGCTGAGGTGGGGAGGCGAGTGGGAGATGTGGGTTTGCGAACAGGAAAAAGGGCAGATAGATTACGTTTTCCTTGACGCCCGGTGAAGTTGGGCGGAGGAATCAACCTGGTGGATTACTAGTTGGCGTTCCAAGGGTGATCCGGATCTCCTTTATTGGGACACTCACAACTCAAAACTAGCTAGGGTTGATTGATCAACCGGGTTCGAGCGATCCGCATCGTGGTTCTGATGATTTCGGGGCACGTCGCAGGTGCTCAATGACATTGCCGCCGTGGCTGCGCGTCGTGACAGACATTCGAAGTTGGCAATGGGGCAGGTCCATGCTGTGGACGGACGAAATCCTGCACCAACGAAGCCCTGGAATGAGGATTCCCCTGCAAATGCCAACGGACACTGGGAAACCCCATGGCTTCCAAAGGAGTGGCGCAGGATTTCGCCCCCGCCTTTTTCATGGCCTTCCCTTCGGGTCTTGGAGTCAGTGTTGAAGGTGTGGATCTCATCAGTCGATCTAAGGCCCAGGCTTGCGGAGTGCAACGCGCAGGACCTGGCCACTCAGCTGCTCAGTGGCGCCACTTCTTTTCCTTGTCTTTTTTTTGGGGGGGGTGGCTGCCCCGCTCAAAATGGCCCAAGCCCCAAAAAGGGTTCCTTTTGGTTTTTTTTTCCCTCTCCCCCAGGGTCGCTGAGCTGAGGCCAACCTCGCCTGGGCCTTGGGCCGCGCGGAGGTCGGCGGGCCCAAGCTGCTGCAACCCTTGGCCAAAGCCGTGCCCGGGGGCCCAGCCGGAGGCAGCTCGGGGACGTTGGTCGAAATGGCTGTGGGTCTCCCTGGTCGCTGGGAGGGCCGGCAGGTGGCTCAAAGGCTGAGGGAGTGTAGGTCCATACTGTGGGTGGACGAAATCCTGCACCACTCGGAAACTATGGGAAACCATGGCTGGTTGGTATTTGCAGGGGAATCATCATTCCAGGCTTTCTGTAGGTGGTGCAGGATTGCTTGTCAAAACCGTTTGGTAATTATCCCATTTTGGTTGGTAGGTGAATTCACCACCCATTTTAGAACCTATTTTAGTGGAGAGGATCCCCCCGACAGTTCAGGGTCATTTCCCCATGCCCCAGTGCGAACCGGCAAGTTCATTGGTGGGGTGCAACCTGCAAGCGTAGAGGCATGCCACCCATCTTATCTTGTCTATCTATCATCTCACAGCTCGTCCCTTAGCCCTTCCTGATCTATCAGCCATCACATGACATAGGCTGGTGACAGGATGTAGGAGGATAATGTGTCATGATGGATCCAGATGCTTCCAGTCCATTTATTTCTCCCTGGCACACGGATTCATGGCACTTTGGCGCATTTTGCCAAGGGACGCTAGGACTGCAACCTTTTGCCAACTAATTAATTTGCTTTCCGTATGAAACCACAAAACGTTTGAGTCACTTTCAGCAGGGGAGCAGATTTTCGCAGCCGAGTTGCGGCATATGTCTCGCTCCCCCCACCTCTGCTCGATCGATCCCAGGCGGCGGCGGTTGGGGGACTTCTCCGCGCCGCAGCTGGCGGTGCTGTGCTGGTCCCTGGCGCGGCTGAAGGCGGAGACTGCGGCGCTGGAGGCGGTGGCGGAGGCGGGGTTTCCGGAATGGGGCTAGGTTTTTTTTTTTCTTGTCTTTTCTCTCTCTCTCTCTCTCTCTTTTACTGTTTGTTATTTTGGCTTTTTGTTTTGACTCTTTTTCTTATTGGGATGGGGGAAGCAACTCCCATCATGGCGGTCGGGAAGCCATGGGATTTCTACCCGGCGCCCGGGTATGGTGCGCCCTGCATGTCTCGGGTCCCCGCTTGTCTCGGTGCTGGGGGGCTAAAACGAAGCATCAATTTCGAAGGCTTCGCCCAACCAAAGACAATCGCACCCGGAGAAACACATTTTTTTGACATGTTCCCCACATTTGTTGAGAGTTTGAGGGGTGTTATCTACTCCTTCTGTTGGGATTGTGTGAGGGGGCCAGCAGGGGGGCCTTGGGATTCCCATTCGGCCCTCGAGGCTGCCGGAGCTCGGATCTCGGAGCTGACCCCCCGGGACGTGACGGATGTGGTGTGGGCACCTCGGCGAGTGCCTGGTAGTGAGCGGTTGGGCGTCAGCGTGGGGAAAAGCGGGCGGGAGAACCGGAACCAAGCTGGGGGCATTTTTTGGAGCATACTCTCTTTTTTTTTTTTTTTTAAAGGTTGGTTTGAAGGGTAGTCGCAAGTGTTTTGAGGTCCCCCCCCGTTATTGTGACCGACCCACACCCGCACGCAACTGGCCCGAGGCCTTGGCACACGCCGGCGTGCGCCACAACGGCGCCGGCGGCTTCCTGAGAGATGCGGGGGACTTCGCGCAGCGCCGGCAGCGAGACTTCAGCACGCAGGAGATGCCGCCCGGCAGCCATCAGCCCACCCAGCAGTTGGGCAGTGGGCGCCCCTGAAGGGGCCAGATAACCTCCATAGATAGGCGTCCTTTTTGGTGGGTTTGGTTAAAACGCAAAGGGCCCTGGTTTGCCTGGTGGTTCAATCATCCACCAGGGCCGTCTGTTTTCCACAAAGGAAGCTTATGCCCCCATCACAAAAACATGTCTGTCTTACGTGGCCTAGATCGCCTCGGCACCTCGAACGCCCGAACCCGAAAACGCCCTTCGTAAGACAAAGGTTGCGCTTCCTGGGCGCTTTCCGGAGAGCAGGCGGGTGCTTCGGTTGGGGGGTCTGTTATTTTGCAGAGTCGGTTTTAAGGGAAGCACATTTATGACTTACCCAAATGGCAAGGGCTTCATGGTTCTAGAGCGCGCCCTCCTGCCAGGAAGCTGACACGGGCTGTCCAGTTTCCTTAGTGGAGAGAAGGTAGGGCCACCTGCCAAAGAACAGGCGCCAACCGGATTTTTTGCTCATGCGACGTATTGGTTTGAGGGGTAATCTCTTACCGGTTGTCTCGGGTGCTTTCTTGATTTGAGCTCGGATGCATCGGATCCATCTGCCCCAGCATTCCGCAGACTTCCTCTTGTCAAGCAGCAGAAACTTCACTTTTTGAACCGATTTTAGCACCGCCTGCCCTTGGGTGGTGTCAAGTTTGATTGGCAGGGGTGTTCTTTTATCGCGGGACTCAGGAATCCTTCACTTTTGGACACGTTTTGAATTCGCCAGATCCAGCGAGTGTCTTCCCACTTGGTTTCGAGAGGAGCTTGGGCGGACCTCGGCTCGCACCAATCCAAGCCGCAACTTCAGCCGAGCCGAGTTTGCCACTGCCCCCATTGCCCCCCCCATCGAAATAGGGCAGGGAGACATCTACGGAGCCGGCAGATCCATAGGGCCTTGTTGAGTTTTTTTTTCTTCCCCGCATGTCATGCACGGCTACGCAAGCCAGGTGTCTTTTGCCTGTCGTTTTTTTTCTTTTTTCGGCGAGCTTCCTTGTTTGGTATATTTGTCTCCCAATTGGATCTTCAGCCTTCCCGCCCACCAAAAACTGTTCGACCTTTCGCTTGGGGAATCCAGGGAGCCGGTCATCCGCATTCGTCCCCCAAGTCGCAACTTTCGGCTGCGCATCCATGCCCAAGGAGTCCCTTGAACTGACCGGAGACATACCGGTGGCACCAGTAAACAAGGAGGACCAAACCGAAACTAGTAGAGTTCATGTTCAACCAGGCTGAAACCAGAACTAAGGTTTATTTTGGCGAGCTTCCTGCTGAAGGTGTAGTAACAAATGTGCAAAGTATAGTTTACAGTTGGGCAAAGGCCACGCACGGCTGTCAAACATGGAGAGTTCCCCCAAACGCAAAGAGGCAGACCCCCCCCCATTCTGAAGCTTCAATTTCCCGTTTTGTTTTGTGGGTACTTGGCCAGTTTCAATTAGACATTCCTGTAGTTGGCTATGAACTTTGGTTCCTCCCACGCCCTTTGAGAACAAACACGTACACGCCACGGTCCACTAACGTGGACCCACCAGATGGTGCAGTTGAAAAGAAACTAGGAGCCCTCAGTCAGCGTCCATGGTAAAGTGAACGGGAGGGCAAGTATTCATGGTTGTTGTTGGGACACATTTTACATTTTTGCTTGTTGTGGTTTAGTGGTTGACACCCCCCACTTAACTGCTAAAATGTAAATTTGTGCTCCCCTTCCAACATCAACCAAGTATTTTCTTTGGTGCATTTTGCCAAGGGATGTTAGGACTGAACAACTTTTTGCCAACTAATGGGTTTTCCGTATTGAACCACTAAAAGTTAGTCACTTTCAGCCGGGGATCAGATTTCGCAACTCAGATATGGAATTGGGGAGGGGTGTGATGGAGATCTCCATGTGTGGTTCCATTTCCTTTGTAAGGGGAAGACTAGATCACGGGAATTGGGGACCCACCCCCTCCCGTCCGGCCGAAGCCGAAGCCGAAGCTTCCGAGTTCTCTTCCGCAGGCGGGGACGCGGCGGTGCACGCGGCGATGGCGTCCGCGCAGCAGCTTCTGCGCTACGAGTTCCCGGCTCTGGACGTCCAGGCGTCGAACAGGACCCAAACATCGCCGGGGTTTGGGGGCGGAGGGTCTTCTTTTAAGGGTGCAAACGGGCTTGTGTTTGTTTGTTTTTTGTGCTGTTTTGGATTGTGTTGTTTTGTTTTGCTTTGTTCGTTTGTTTCTTGTGTTTTACTTGTGCTGTTTTGTACTGTATTGTGTTGTTTGTGTTTTGTGTTGTATTGTTGTGTTGTTATGTTTGTTTTGTTTTGTTTGTTTGTTTGTTTGTTGCTGTTGTTGTGTTTTTGCTGTTGTGTACTGTGCTGTTTGTTTTGGTTTTGTATTGTGTTGTTTTGCTTTTTGCTTGCTTGGTTTGCTGTATTGTATGGTTTGGTTTTCTTTTTTTATCGTTTGTTTGTTTTGTTTTGTTTGTTTGTTTGTTTGTTTGTTTGTTTGTTTGTTTGTTTGTTTGTTTGTTTGTTTGTTTGTCTATGTTTTTTTGTTATTGTTTTGTATGTTGTTTTTTGTTTGTTTTGTTTTTGTTTGTTCCTTTATTGCTCTGTTTTGATTTGTTTGATTTGTTGTGTTTTGTTTTGTGTCGTTCTGTGTTGTTTGCTCCGTTTTCCATTTGTTTGCCATTGTTATGCTCGTTTGTTCTTTTGTTTTGTTTGTTTGTTTGTTTGTTTCTGTGTTTCTTTTTTTTCTTTTTTTTCCGTCTGTGGTTTTGTTGTTATGTCGTTGTATTGCTTGCTATTGTTGATTTTTCTTTTGTTTGCTTTGTATTGTTCTGTTCCCTAGTTTTGCTATTGTTTTGTTTGTTTGTTTGATTGATTTGTTTTGTGCTTTTTTGTGATGTAATTATCGGTTTGTATTGGTTGGGCTCGGCGGAACTACATCCATGCCATGGAAGGATGCAACGGACATTAGGGCAGCCTGCTCCATGGTCGTTGGATCCGCATCGTATCATTGAGACGTGGACTTTTCTTTTGCATCCACATCAGGTTGGGCCAGTGGCCACTGCTGATCCAGATGCGCGACATCTCATCTAGTGAAAGGGCAGCGACTCCCCTACACATTTTTCCCCAAAAGAGCGTCCTCTACAACATGAATATGTTTTCTTTTGGGTTCCACCTTGATCTGTAGGGGATAACCCTTTGACAAGTGCATTTTGATCCTGTGGGGCCGCAAGAGCCCAACCATGCCCGATGGTGGATCCTCTGAGGCTCGGTTCGCAAAATGGTCCTTTCAGCATCAACCCGCTTCAATGGATCTTAAGCACAAAAAACTGCATGAAAAACAATCAGATAAACCAGTCAACGAATAGATCACTTGACCTGCGTGCCATTTGTCTCCTATGAATGCCAAGAGCCCCCAATACTCCCAATGCCAGACTAAGGCCTGGGGCTAGGCCTTCTTTTGGGGGCTTTTGGACCCTCTTTTGGGTCCAAGTCCTCGACCACCGGCGCCTGATCATCACTTGGTGGCTCCCAGCCATCCCCTTAGCCTTTTAGCTTTTTAGTGTTTAGTGGTAGTTTCTATTTAACCCACCAAAAGTGAAACTTGAACCGGGGGATCCGAAAACAGGCAGGGCTCGAGACGCGTAGGTCACTTTGCACGCCGAGACCCCGGGGCACTCCTCGCAGACGAAGCGCCGCCGCGTGCGGAGCAGCGAATTGCGGGAGCAGAGCGAGCTGGGGGGCGACCCCCAGCGGGCGGACGGCGGGACCACAGGCGCAGATCGCGGATCAGCTGAAATTTCTTTGCATTTTGCCAAGGGAGGACTGAGCAACTTGTTGCCAACTAGTGGGTTTTCCGTATTAAACCACTAAAAGTTTGTGTCACTTTTAGCAGGGGGGCAGAAAGCAACCGAGATGTGGAATTGGGGAGGGGGGTGATGGAGATCTCCATTTATGGTTCCATTTCCTTTGTAAGGGGGGACCGGAATTGGGGACCCACCCCCTCCCCCTTATGGTAGGGGGGTGAGATCGCGTGCTTCGGGGGGTCAGGAGTAGGTGGCAGAATAACAGTTTTCCCTTCGGTTTAGCCCTCCCCTGTACTTGGGCTCTGTTTTGCAACCTGTTCTTTGGCGCATTTTGCTTGGCTGTTAGGACTTTAACTTTTTGCCAATGAATGGGTTTTCCATTAAACCGCTAAAAGTTAAACTTTTAGCAGGGGAGCAGAAAGCAACCGAGTGTTGCTGTAGGGTATTGTGGTTTTTAGGGCTTGAGTTTGCAACATAGAGCCTACGTGTCCATAGCAAACGGGCGGGGAAGGGGGGGGTCCTTTTTGGCACGGGTACATGTTTGGATCCTTGTTTGTAAGTTTCATTTTGCCTGGGGACATGCCTTGGATACTTGAGCAGTTGAAACATTCTTGCCTACTGGAGACGTAAACCACCTCAGGTATATAACGAACATTGTTTCACCTTTGTTCTGCATCTAAGCCGGAGACGAGGGATAGGCACCAAAGAAACATGTCCTTGACTGTTTTTGGATCAAGTGTTTAGAGTTGTTTTTGGTTCTGTTCATTTTTTGTAGGGCTGCAAAAATATAACCGAGTTTATCCTGCTACCCATGCCCAGGGTTGGTAAGGGCGCAAAACAAACATGTCCAAGGTTTGCATGCCCAGCTTACCCGTACTATATGTGAAAAGAGCCATGCGAGGATGATCACAACCTTTCCGTTGTCCAGATCATCGGGGGGATGCTGATGGAGGCCCCTCCAAAAGTGATGAACTCCCACTAAAACGAATTGGACACCCTCTATCGAAATCTGCCAGGAGGTTAATCCGGGTGTGTCTTTTTTTCAAGGATTCGGACTTTGCATCAGTGGTAAGGGGTTTCCTTTTTTGATTTCCCTTGAAACTCCCAGCAACTGACCCTCAAGAAGATCCCCGACCATTCCGAATCCTTCGGGAGAGGCCTGCCTGGGCAGCTACCGATCTCCCGCACTTTATACACGCATCCTGCGCATAGGTGTCTTTTTGGTTGTTTTGGTATAAAAAAATAGGGTAGCGCTTCCGATCGGTTTACCTGCTGCTTTTACCTCACCTACCAGGGCCATCTCCATCTATTTCCAACCTAAAAGGGCACCTGTGACCGGAAGGTCCGCTTCTTCTTTCCCCTTGCTTGGGGGTCTTTGTTTGTTTTCAAGGGCCCCAGGTCGCCGTGAGTCGCGAGCCCGCGAGGCGTGGCGCTCTGGGAGGCGTCCTTTGTCTTGGCGGAGTGGATGTCGCGGCAGAGCAAGGGCCGCGCCTTGCAGGACCCCCGTCTTGGTGGAAGAAAAACAAGCCGCGGCAAAAAGGCTCTTTTCCAGGTGCTGAAACGAGTATGTGTTTCTTTTTTTTTTTTTTGGGGGGGGGGGCTTTTTCAAGGGAATCGATTTCACTACAGGACATATGTTCTCTCATGTTGTCCGGGGGGCGAAAAGGCACATGGAAGAATCGGGAGGTGTTCTATACCCCCCGCCCAAGACTTGCCACTTGTCGAGTTGGCATCCACCGTCCCTTGAAGCAAAAAAAGAGGCTCTTGGCCTGTTGCCTCAGGAGCTGCTGGGGCGGAGGCTTGGGCGTTTGGCCGTTTGGTGGGTCACGGGTGGTTCAAGGTTTGGTCAACCAGAGGGGTTTTGGAGGTATGGAGCTTGCATATCACTTGTATCATCAATTGCATGCTGCATTGCAAGCTGGTATTTTGTGGCATACAAGCGTCCATCCTTCAAGAACCGACCTGGAAATGCCATTCATTTGGGACCTTGCATCTTCACTAAAAACATGACTAAACAGATAAGTAAAGGACATGTATTTGATAATTCTAGGTTGGTCGAATGCTTGCCAAGGGGTCAACCCCAAGCTCAGCCAAACCTTCGAGGAGCGATAACCTTCCGCTATGCGCCGTGCCGGGTGATACGATCCGGCGCCTGTTTGTGAGAGTCCATTTCGAGCTTTTGATTTGCTAGGGGCCTCAAGCAAATCAAGGGGTGGCTCCAACATGGCTGTTGTTTCTTTTTGGTTTTGTGACGACCAACAAGGGCTTCAGAGTAACCAACCTGGTGGAGAAATACTGAATCAACTCGGTCAGCATTTGCCTCCAACACCCTTTCCTCCACTTCCATGACTGCAAGAAAGAGGGCGCCCTCCTCCCAACATGACACCTACCAGAGCGTCCACCCACCCCACTTCAGCCCACTTCACTTCCCACGCACCGAGCCACCCCACTGAGCCGCCCAGCCACCCCCGCCAGGTGGCGCTGGCGCGGCAAGGTGGGGGTGGAGCTGGGCGCGGGCCTGGGCCTGCCGGCCATCCTGGGCTCCTTTCTGGGGGCCTCCGTGGTGGCCACCGCCCGGGCCTCGGGCCTCGGCCGATGCCGATGCCAAGCGGTGGGATGGGGGTGGGGTGGGAGGCTTGGCGGCTTGGGGAGGGCTTCTCGTTCGGAATGTCGGCGGCGAGGTGTAAAACCAAATGGCATCACAAGATGGCGCGCAATTGTTCTGCGGGATTTTCCGCAGAACTATCGAGGAACTGTCGAGGTGAATTGGAAGGGTCAGCCCTCTCAGCCCTCGTGCGGGTAGGCGGTGTCGTTGCGCAGTTTTAGGCTGCTGCTTGCTGCGGACTTCCTTTTGGTTTCCACTCAAAGCTGGCCAAGTAACGCTAAGCTGGCCAAGCACTGGGTTACTCAAACCTTTGCGACATTTCTTGCACCACCTGTAAAGAATCCCACAAGCAAGCTTGAAAGTGTATCTTTTCTCCAGAGAGAGAGAGAGCTTTGCCCATCTTTCCGCGGGACTCAACAGCTGGAGGTTCCCTTTCTGTGGGCAAGTAAAGGGGATGTCTGAGCCAAGAAGGGCGGGGTATGTGCGCCGTTCGTGTCGTTCAGGACGGGGACGCCTGCGTCATGAAGCTTCTGCGGCGCAACGTGCAAGAGAATAGTTCGGGCTCAGGCGGGCGGACGCTCAGACCTCCAGTGGTCTTTTCCCCTTTTCCCCTTTAGGCTACCACAGAAAGCTGCCCTTTTCTTCCCCGGAGCCAGGGGTCTAGGTGCCCTCAAATCCGGGCAAGTGAAGGGTGGGCAGTGGGACCGTGGTCTCGGGCACCGGGGCCCCTAGCGAAACAAGAGAAACGGGGCTTTTCAGCCCTTCCCCAACATACGAAACACACAAAGAGCACCGGCCCACCACTTAAAATGCACACTTCCCAAATCCCCCCCCCGCCACCGCGACCAATTTTTAGGTTCCCCTTTCCGGAACGAAGACGAAGAATTCTCCGGCGATTTCCGGTGGCTGGGGGCGTTTCGGTTCCCTTTTTCGTTTTTTTGGGGGGGGGAGGGGAGAAAACGACGACGATTCCGCAGGCGCGCTGCGGGCGGAGGCGCTGCTCTGGGGGGCGGAGGAGGTCTTGGGGAAGCTGGGCCTGGAGAAGAAGCCGGACTTTGTGTTGGCTGCCGATGTCCCTTCGCCCCAAAAAGCCCGCGAGGGGTTTCCCTCGCTGACTTAAGGAGGGTTCTGCAAATGTCTCTGTAAATGTCCCTTGGCCCCCAACTGCGGAAAGGTGTCCTTTTTGTTCAGTTTGGTTGGGAAATAATGGGGCCCTGGTAGGTTGGTTTAATCCTGGGGTCAGCTATTTTCTCGAAAGGACAGCTATGCCACTTGCAGGGTGACTTCGGAAGGAGGATTCGGTAAATGTTTCGTTTCTGTAGATGCTGGGAATTGTGTGGCAACCGACAAGTTTGTTTTTTTTTGGCCTGTCCGCTTGGGAAGTGAGATGTTGACCCCGGATTCATAAACCCCCACGGATCGATCCGAAGTTTATCAATGTCGAGCAATGAATAATACCTTCCCCCCGCTTTGTTGTTGAAGGCCTCCCCCCTCCATATTTTAGCGGGGATTCCTTTCTTCCAGGGGCGCCCGGAATTGTCAGAGTTGGAACCACCGAACATAAGTGGCTGGTGGACATGAATCCCCACTGAATTTGATGGCCACCAAAGAGTTGCCAGTTAGAAGAGCCCATCTTCAGGTGAGCCAAGTGTCAGGCTGGCAGCGTGGGTAGCCTTGTCAGCCCAGGTTGTGTATGCATCGGCCAAAGAAGCCTTGATCAAGCAACTGCTGGAGACGATGCTGAAGTTGAGCCATTCCGACACTGCGGCTCGGTCTGCAATATGCCACGTTGATTCACAGACAGACCTCTTGGGCGTGTCAATCTTGAGGGTCATTAGACTTTTCGGCGTTGTTTTAAAGGGAAACCACCAACTTTTTTTGGGGGGGCCTTTAGAGACCAAGCCACTTTGAGAGGCTGTCAGACTGCGAGAGGGGAGTGAGTGAGGCCAGGCCGCATCCAAATAAGCAGGGATGTCATTGCCACAGAACTGAGGTCCTCATCATCAGCAACGTCCGCAGATTCCCCGAGGCATCCCTAGCACGTCAGTAGCAGGAAAGGACCAGAGGCAGTTGGAGCAAGAGCTAAGCGTAGCAGGAGCGTGCGAAGAGAGAGTACCTAAACGAAAATGAGTCTGCCAGCTGCAAACCGGGAAATCAGGGCCCCAAGTCAATCTACGCACCTCCAAGCCACTGCAAGTCCACATGCTATGCTGGGACACCTGCCATTCGGACAAGGGCATACTTTGGCGCCTTTCTCCATTTTTCCATTTTAGGGTGTTTCTCAAAATCAGTTGGCCTCCTTTTTCCCTTTCAGCCGCAATGAAACCTTGGGTCCGTTTCCATTTTCTTGGCGGGTCCGAGCCATCCGGCTCAGCTTCTTTTAGGTTTTTCGTTGGTTTGGTGGGGGGGGTGGGGGTAGTTTTATGATTTGCACAGGCACCTTTGAAAATGCGCTGAACAGTGGATGACGACCATCTTGAACCACAACTTCGACATAAAATAGTCTTCCAAGTTGCGTTGTCCGAACTTCACCCACGAGGAGTTGGTCACTTCTCGCGCCAAAAGTGACTGTAACCCACAAAAAGGTCGCCGCCTTTCGCCGGGGATCTGGAACAAAAAAAACCCGAGCGCGCGCCGTGAGGGCCACCCCAAGGGCGAGGCGCGGTTCTTCGCGGAGGCGGCGCGCTTCTACGAGCGGGTCACCGTGCCGTGCCAAAATCTGCACCCCGCGCCTGGGCAAATTGGGACCTTAGGAGGGCTGGGGGTTTTGGTGCAAGGGACCCCCCCCCAGACATGGTTGTCGTTGGGAAACATCCTATTTTTTGCTTATTGTGGTTTAGTGGGAAATCCCCACTTAACTGCTAAAATTTGAATTTTTGCTCCCCTTCCAACGTCAACCAAGCAGAAAATTGGTCGGGTGGGATATCAAAGCGGAAAAAAGGAGCTTCATCTGTGGCTGGATCGTTTTTGTAGTTGTGATTAGTCGTTTTTAGGTTCTGTTCATGTTTGGTAGGGGGCTGCAAAAAAAAAGCAAGTTCTTTACGACCATGCCAAGGGTTGGAAGGGGAAACTATCGTTTTGGAGCAGCACCCAAGTTTAGACCAAAGGTGGGGGAGTTAGCCCGTGATGGAGGCCCTGCCCTTAACTTGAGGATTCCTTCCAGAAACTTTGAGCGGGGCAGATAACAGACCTTACCTTGCCACCAGCAAGCATGACAGTTCTTTTCGCTTGTGGGCATACTAGGGCAGCTGTATCTCTGGTCCAGTTGGACGCTTTTGGTTGGATGGGAACTCCAAATTTCACGGCCCTAGAGTGTCCAATCCCAAAAAATACGCCAAAGTTAAACCATGGGGTGTCCAATGGGGGGGCTCTTTGAACAGTCCTTGAGAACGAAAACAAAAGGAATCCAGCCCAAAGGGAACATGCCCATGGAAACCTGGGTCGAAAGAAAAAACAAATCCGAGCGACAGAGGTGTCCTTTGCGTCCGTTGCTTGTGTTCTTGGTGCGGCTGGGGTGTTGGGCTTTGCCAGCCGAAGGATGTCAAGACAAGAACCGGCTGCGAGGGCGCGGAACCAGAGCTGGGCAAAAGCTCTTTGAAGAGAAGTCCTGAAATAAGAGCGGTTTCATCACCTGTTGTTTGAAGGTTGCCAGTTCGCGTGAGCAGCCAAGGGAATCAAAACGTGTTTTCCGCTGAACGGTTCCATGCAACTGGCGGACTTTCCACAAGCCTGGCTGTCCCGAGAGAGCAGCCCTAAGGATGATTGAGTCTCTGCTTCTTTCGGCACTTTCGAGGGACTCCCAATGCGCTGAGTGTAATTGTTGGCTGGGTACTTGGGTGTTCGGCCGGCCAAGTAAGTCGTTGGCAACCACTCGGTGGAAACCCACAAAGTAAGCCCCCGGTTCAGTGGAGTGAACCTTGCTATTGGGAGAAAAGCCCTGGTGGGCAACCACTCCAAGTACGCTCGCTGGATGTTACCTCACTTGCACCCAAAGCGAATCGACCTTTTGATCTGACCTTTCGGCTTTCCCTCTCGGTCGAATATTTTTGCCGCGGCCCCCCCCCCCCCCAAAAAGCTTCCCCTGCCGCTTTTCTGGTTCCATCGGCCACGGGCAAATCGGATGTTCCTCACCATGGGGCGGGCCCCTGCCTCGGGATCCACACGCGGCCGGCCCCGAGGACTTCCAAAGATCTGGCGTGGGCAGCTGCGAGATCCATCTGCTCCGCCCTTCGGAAAGCAAAGAAAGCGCCGCACGTTTTGGAAGCTCCAGCCATGGAAGGACAGCAGCAGAAGAGAGGCAACCAATTCGGTGACAGCCACCGGGGCGGGGACACATGTTTTTTTGTTTGTTTTTTTTTTTTGGGGGGGGGGGGGTAATTGGGTGAGGTGGCACAGTCCCCTCATTTTGGGGGGCCATGCTCTTTACCCAAAGGGAATTTTCAGCCATCCGCCCACCTTGGCGCTTCCAGCCAGTAGTCAGAAGGTTCCTTAGGCTTCTCGGCTCGCAGGTTTTCGGATTTACGACGTACTCCACCGAGTGTAACTATTGGGTGACAAGTAGAAGGTGAACTGCGCCATTTTCTCGGCGTGAAAGCGTTTTTTTTTTTTTTTTTTTTAAGAGAGTTGCTGTTTTGTTTCCCAGCTTTTAGCCTTCTGGGGCTCGCTTCAACTGAACACCGCCCGATTTTTTCGGGCCGGCTGCTTCAAGGCCTAAGACGGGCGGAGCCTCCGGATTCAAAGGCTCGGATGAAGAAGCGCCCGAAGGCCTGTCCTAAGCCCGAAGCTTCGGGGCGAGCGATCCGCTGAACTGGCAGCTCAAAGTTAATGCAGAGGGGATCTGAGGACAGCCCAGATGTGAAAGTTGTTGTTTTTTTTTCAGTGGGCCGAAGGCAGATGGAGGTCAACCAATCACCTTCTTGCCTTCTTGGCCCTTGGGGAAGCCCGTAGAGGAAAAGCTAGGGTTGCGCGGGGATTAGTTGTTTGTTTCATTTGCCAAGGTGCCATTTTTGGTATATTTGTTGAGCCACAGCCAAGTGACTTCAAATAGTTTCAAGCTTTATACACGGGACAGCGAATCCGGATCTCACCGGCCCAGGAAAGGGTTCGGATGCGTGCATCAAAATTGGCACTTCGAACTTCACACATTGTGACTGAAGGGAATTATCCATGCGGATCTGACTTTTTCTCTCGAAGCAGTTCGATCGAGGATTGCCAAAGTCATTTTCTCACCGTGTTGAACCCACTCTATGTAGAGTTTCATCCATCCTAAGTGGTCAAGGGCTTTGCCCGTTTGTGGCATTTCCACTGCACCAGAGAGGTTCCAACCTGGGGCGGAGGTTTTGCAGGTTGTTTTTTTTGGGCGCTCACTTCCCAGCCCTGAATCAGGGCCCTTCGGCCTTCTCCTTGGCTTTTCCAAGGCGAAGGGGTAGATTCAGGAGCCCTGTGGATGGTTGCGAAATTCTCCTTAGGCACCAGCGAAGAAACCCAACGGACTGATTCGATTTTTTCTGTAAATGCCAACGAACGTTATGGTTTCAACCAGGGCTTCAAAGTGGTGCGACATGGATTCTGTCCATCCACAGTATGGGACTCCCATCGCGCCCGAACAACTCGAGCGATGCTTTTTGGCCGGTGGGGCCATGCTTCCCCCCACTGCCCAAGGCAGCCGCCCGATGCCTCGCCTTGCCAGGCGCGGAGCAGCGCCAAGCCGCCCGATGGGCCGCAGCTGCAGGAGCCCATGGAGCCGCAGGCGCCGCAGGCGCGGCCAACGCGCAGCTCACGCCCCTCGGCGGATTTCTCTTTGCCGGTTGGGCGCCTTTCCAGCGTGGATGTTGGGAGATGGCTGTGGTGGTCAAAAGTGGGGCAACCCCAAAATGGGTGGAATGGAATCATGCAGAGATTGGGGATCCCCAGATTCAAGTGAGGGAGAAGTCCTGGACGGGACGCCAACGGACAATTTCTCCGGCTTTGCCCGGCCGAGGCAAGCGGAAGGCCGGCGAGCTTGGCGAGGGAAAGAAGGGAAAGCGGAAGGCAGGCCAAGAGGCGGCCGGGCACAAGCCAAAGAGCTTGCCGCGGGCGCGCGGAAGGAAAAGGGCGGTTTCCGCGGGGGTGGCGGGGGTCGATCTGGCTGTGCTGGGCTTTAGGTCGGCCGATTCAGAACCAACTTCGGTCCTTTGGTCGTTTGCCGCCGCGCGGTATGGAGGTTGCAGCCCTGACCAAGAGCGCGGAAGAGCAGGTCGCGGGCGTGCGGACGGAGGTGGGGCGGCGGCTTGCGATGCGCCTCATGCGCGACGCGAGGGGCGCGCGTTTTCTCGCCCAGGTGGCGGGCATCAGGGAAGGCCTGGAGCCCAGATCTTGCGAGATGTGCAGTTGGGTTGGGAGAACGCGTTGGGCTAACCGCGCACTTGCCCGTGTTTGAACCATGGTTTTGTGGGCGGGGTGGTTGGTTTGCTTGTTTTTTTTTTGCATCCACCACAGGTTGCCGTCAGAACCAAGGAAATCTGTGCTTGGATGGGGCGCGTGGCGCAAGCAGTGCACAGCAGCAGAAAGGTTGACGAAACTCCGAGGGGGATACAGGGAATCCTGCCATCCTCACAGCCTTCACATTGTGAACTCCAGACTGGGAATCATTTGAAGCCAACGTGGATCTTTTTCCATTTTGATGGTGCCAAGTGGATTTAATCCCCTTACGAGGGCTCATCAGTTGGCGCCGTCCAATTGGAAAGAGCTTCATAGGGTGAAAGGGGTGTCATCTCAGTTTCCTTCCTCGAACCTTCAAATGCAACCTGCAGGGATGCGTAGAACTTTTGCGGAGTTCCAATATGCGAAGCATGTTGGTGTTTCAACTAAAATGCTTCCGTGTGGTATTTGCGTGCTTTTCCATCTCTTCACTTATTGCTAGAAGGCATCTCTGTCGAGTTTTAGTGGCACCTTTCGAAAGCACGGAAACAGAGGGTGGCCCGCAGGCTCCCTTTTCAGCCGGAAGAGACCGTTTCACTTTTGCAACGCTTGGTTTGGAGCATGCGTGGCGGTGGTTTCGATTCCCATGGGAACCTGGTGTCTTGTGGGCATTTCCGGGCCCACCTCCAGCCCGATGCGTCGAGCGCGTCCAGAAAAAGGCGCAGAGCCGGACCTGAAGATTTGGCTCAACCAGACGTGCAAGCCGCTGGACCGCCGCCCTTTTTTTTTTTTTGGGTGCTTCGCCCGGAAGCTTTGGTTTGGGGGCGAGGGGTGGGGGGGCTGGGGGGGTTGGGGGCATGGGGGAGAAAGGGCTGGGGGGTTGCGGGGGGTGCTTAGGGGTGGTTTCGGATGGAGATTGAGGGGTGAGGGTTGCTGATGAGGCCCTGCAGAATCGAGAACAGTCTTTTTGAAAACGGTGAGAACCCAAATCTGATCGTTTACGGGCACGAAAGTGCTTCGAGCCCAGAGTTCATAGCAACACCCATGGCAATTTCCCGACCCACTGCTCCATGAGGCGTTTTTCTTCAAACCACAGCTTGGTAGAAGCTGCAAGGTTCGGTTCCGTCATACTGGTCAACGAGGCGAACGAGGGTACCATGTGCATGGGTTCCAGAGGATGTTCCCGCACTCCCTCTGGCGACCGGATATGTTCTTACGTTGGAGTTGGGCTAGCCAATTGACATGGCTCGCTGCTTTGAATCAGCGCCTGATGTGAGCAAATCGCAATGCGCGAACCCCACTTTGTGCTGCACGCCCTGGCCCGCAGGATGGCAAGTTGCATGGCTTCAGCACCCGCATTGCCACCGCCACCCGCAAGCAGGCTGCTTAGGCATGCCCGGCAGTGCGTGAGAACGATGCCCAGTGCGTGAGAACTTACTTACGTAAGCTTCTATTTGATAGCAACTGGGGTCTCCTCCAAGAGTATGGTTTTTCGGGGGCGATCAAATGTGAAGCAGAGTCAGCAAATATGATTTTCTGTGTGCCCAGATTCTCAGATGTGGGGTCAAGGGGCTCAATGGTCCAGCCCAGTGCCGAACACTTCCGAGGCAGAAGCATTTGGAGCAGGATGCGAAGAACAAGGACGGGCAGCTGATTTGGGGTCGGGACATGTTGGATGGGTCACGTGTACGACGCTTCCAGTGTGCCTTACACGGGGGTCGCATCCCGAAGCTTGGCTACAGAAGCAAAGCCATGGATGCCCCCCTCACGGCAAGTTGGAGTGGGGATATCTTGTTCCTTTTTGGGCTGAATCCGTCTCACGTGATTTGCTAAGCCTTACAGCCTAGAGACAAGGCGACTGAGTGTATGAACCCATGAGAGCAGCCCGTATATAAATAACCATGCATTCTTGTTCATACTTCATGGACATCAGACACCAAACGGGTATATAATTGCCATGGGTTCATATATGTGTGGGTCAACCAACTTAGCACTATTTTTAATTAACCAAATTGGAATTAATCTGGTTCTGTAGGGTCCCACCCATAGTTTGATGTATTTTCAAACAACTCTCTTTTTTTTTGGTTTCCCTTGCCCTCTCCACAATGGAGTTCACCCGTTGCAACCGAAGCGAATCGACTGGATTTGACCTTTTGGTTTTCATCTCATCTAGTTCTAGCACTAGGTCCCGAAAGGTGCTCACCTTTCCAATTTGTAGGTTCTTTGAAGGTGCTCACCTTCTCATTTCTAAGCCCATACAGGGCAAGTAAGCTTACCGGCACCCCAGCTCCCGGAATCGCAGTCGGCCGTCGCCCGTCGGTAGTCGCCCGTCGGACAAGCGAGGACGCCGCAGAGCTGCTCCAGAGCGAGAAGCGGGTGCTGGCCGGACACAAGAAGTCGAGCCGAGTCGAGCCGAGTCGAGCCAAGTCGAGCGGGGTTTTGAGCGTTTGTCGCGAGTCGTTGGTCGTTTGGTGGGGTTCCGTGGGTTTTTGGGCAGAGAGTAGGGCTTCTGCTACGGATGGGCGAACTCCGTCGCACCACCTAAGAGACCCAACTGGAAATGGTTTGATCAACGTAAATACAAAACCAACGTTACGGTTTCATTTCCTTGGTTGCTTTCCGTGGTGGCGGAACTCGCGGATGAGGCAATTTTTCCAGACCGCGCGTGTTTCGGGGGTCTTGGGGGTTTGGGAGGGTGCTTGGGCGCCAGGCTACGCTGAGACAGCAGCAGATGGCGAAGAGTTTGCCCTGGCCTTAGGTGGTTTGCTCTGTGGAAAGGCTGCATTTGGGAGTTTCATCCCAAGAAGCCAAGATAATCCAACTGTAGGGCCGTTTTCTTTGGAACCCGCCTTGTTCCGGAAACCCTGAATGGGTGGTTTGGGAAATTTGAAGCCCTGGTTGTTGGAGAGGGTATTCCCTAACCTGTAAACCACCGCGCTCCGGGCCACAAATTGACAGGACGCCGACTTGCGGAACCAGTGGGGCGCAGCTATTTTTTCAAATCTTTGCATGGCTCTGGGTCCGGTTTTTGATTCTGCGGCTTCACAAGCGCTTTTGACATCGTAAAACGAAGGGCCATGCAGGGTGGCGCGCGGAACTCCGGAGAGAAGCGCTGAAGTGGGCACCTGCAGCTGTCAAAAACCTCTGGTTGAAACATCGCTTCTAGTAGCTGAAGCAGTTTTTGTTTGGTTTTTGTTCCTTCCGCCAGAACCTGAACAACTGCAGTTAGAATGTCAACAAAGGCTTCCCTTGCTTGGCTTCGGCCCAAAAAATTAGGCCCTTTCCAGGGTTGACCTCTGGTGAAAAGGTCCCTGGATGTTTCTCAAAATGATGCAGGTGGAGTTGTTCTTGGCGTTGACCTGGTGTTGCTAAAAAACTATCTCAGTGGCAGTCCATTTTGAGAACTAAGCCGTCTGACTATCAAGTGTTTGCGGTCTGCTGGAGGATACACTTACAGGGCGGCCGATGTTCATATTGGGCTGGACTGTTCAAAGGCAACGCTTGCTGCTTACCTTGGGTGACATGGCTTTCTGAAAGGGAAGGGTTGCTTTAACCGTTCGGCTCTCAGGCGGGCCCTTGATTTTTGGTCTGTTTTGAAGAGCTTTCCGTATATCGGAGGCTTGGACTGCAAACGGGCATATGATTTGCACGTCCGAGACTTGGCCCAGCTGAGGGCGCCGGAAGAGCTGTTCCTCAGCGTGTCGAAGAAGGACGAGGAGAAGGCGACTAAGGCTCCTGGCGGGAGTTGGGATCGCCGGTTTCTCGGACGAGGGGGCCGCGGGGTGCCGGGGCGAGGGGCGAGGGGCTTTCGGCGGCTGGGGCAAAACACGGGGGATGCGCAATCAAACGTGGGCAGGGAGAGGCTTAGTTGGGCCGCGGGGAGATGAGTTCTTTTCATTTGAGTGGGGCCTCCTTGTTTGATGTCTTTGGCCCCCTCCTCTTTAAGATCCTTTAGATCCCGGACTGGACAATGCGAAACGCCGCTGTTCGCAGATGTCAGAGGTTCGTTGGGTGTGGTTGTCAAAACTCGGGTAACCCCGATATGGCTTGGCCGATCGGGAAATGGAAACCAGTTGACTCTAACTCCTGCGATCCCTACAGAACGGGGAACTGGCTCCAAGTTGGCCGAAAGCCACGGCAGCCGGCTTGGCAGTCTCAGCTTGGAAAACACAAAACACGGGACTCCGCCGTGAAATCCAAAGAAGAGGGACTTGAGCCGCAATCAAAACCCGGGTAAGTGAAGGTTAGTAAGGGACGATCCCAGCCATAAATAGCCGCGGATACCCGCCTTCTTCGTTCTTGACGCATGGTTCTGGGAATACGGCCATTTTTGTACTGATCGGTTTTGAGCATGTGACTCACTTGCTATGCCCTGGTTTCAGTTTGACCCATCCCAGTTCGGCTATGGGCATGCCGCTGTGCCTTCGACCCTCCTCGGCCTTGGCAATGAGGGATTCTGGTGGTCAGTCGGAGGTCTCCGGATCCCTTAGCGGTTCGCAGCCGTCCTTGGCTTTTGGTTTTTTGGGGTTTGGTGGGGGGTTCGATTTAACCACGAGTCAAAGTTTCAGCAGGGCACTCTCAGGAGACCCAAGTCCTGTTCACCCATCCTTCTTCTCAAGCAAAGAAGAACGCCCCGTGTTCCTCGGTGTTTGTGTCTTGGAACGGTTCGGATCACTAGAATGGGGGAAGCTCTACCGCTATGTGGTTGGATCTTTAGACTTTAACTTTTTGGATTCCCTTCATATTTCCTTTTAACCAGCAACAAGTTACTTCTTCTTTCCACCGTCACGGCCCGGTCGGTCAGGAGTCCTTCGTTGCGTTCCTCACCTCCTGCGAGGCGGAGGACACCTTTTGGCTCCGGGAGGGATGGGGTCGGTCGGCGAATGTGTTGACCCCGGATGAAGTGAAACCCCTGTTTGTTATATGGGGGTGTCCCTGGTTGGGGATTCAGACCAGGCCCCCACCCCCATATTGATAGACTCAAAATTACCCCCGACTGGATATGGACAGGCAGGTTTGAGTCCTTGTTTCCATTTGCCAGGGGACCCCATTTTGGGGTTTCCCGATTTTTGACTCACACCCAAGTGGCCGACCGCCCGAAGCATGTGTTCCTTCTTTTGTTTTTAAGTAGCACTTGTCCCGTAGGCCATTTTTTGAAGCTCACTCACTTGTGGTTGAGCCCTGCCTCCATCCGGGGGAAAACAAGTGATTGGGTCGAGGGGGCAGACAGGTTGGCTTTGGGGTTTCTCCCTCTTTGCGGACATCTGGGCGTTTCTCGAAATCAGTCCCCGTTCCAGGTTGGTTCCCGTATTCAACCGATGTAAGACGGGTCAAAGACTCAAGATAGCACCCTCATGCCAGCTTCTTGATATTGGACATGGACCTGCAGTTGGGATGCATGAAGCCCTAGAACTCTTTTTCCGCCCACCTACCCACAGGGTTCCTTGGAACCTCCCAAAGTGGCGAGGTAAGTTGATCAACTCTTTCAAGAAAGAGATCCAGTAAGCCCTTGACCCCCTTGCTTTTGGCTCCCTTTTTGTGGGAAAAACCACCGCAAAGTGCCCCCAACCTCGCTGGTTGGACCTCCTTCACCCCCCCCCCCCGCTTCCTGCGACGCCGCGGCCAGGATGGCGCAGAGGCGCTCACGGAGGAGGAAGTGGGCCTTGGGCTCAGCGAAACGTCCTCTCACATCTCTGGCTCCAAAATGGAGCTGTGGTTTGTCTCTGACGTGTTTTGGTCCCACCCCCAGGGATCCTTCTGCCGGGATTGTTCCAGTCAAGCCTTGAAGCACAAGGCAAACAGTTCGCGGAGGGAACTATATATAAGAGCCTGAGCAACCTTGGATTGACGCAGAAAACGCACGCCCCTCCTGAAAAGCACATCGATTCTGAAGAAGAGCGCAAATTATCTTTGGCCAATTTTGTTGGTGTTGTTGCTGCGACTGATTCTGTATGTAGCTAAGGTTCGTTTTTGCGTATACGCAAAACGGATGTTCATGCCCGTTCCACAAAGAACAGATGTGTGCAAGCAGGGGTTCCCCGAACCGAGTGACCTGCCTATTGCATAGCGAGCTGCACCATCATACATCCTTTACTTGTCTAAGATGGCTTCCCCTATACAACCACCATGCGGCCACTATGTAAGCGCTATATGCCTTGTTTTGCCCCGGAGTTCGTGGTTTTCAGGGTTGTCGTTGGGAAACATTTCACATTTTTGCTTATTGTGGTTTAGTGGGTGAAATCCAGCCACTTAACTGCTAAGATTTGAGAATTGCTCCCCAAACCCAACGCCAACCAAGATTTTGGGCATAAATCGGATAGTGCAAGCCATTTTTCTCGGCTCTCCTGCGCCACAGGCTTTGGCATTACGTTTTGCGGAGGCCCGAGCTTCCCGGAAGCGGCTCAGGTCGCTTCTTCGACGCGCTGGACGCTGAGAAGGCTGGCTCCCTCACCAAGGAGCCGCAGCCAAGGGCTGGATGGAGTGTCTTGAGCTCGGAAGGACCTGCTACAAGGGGAAGCCAACAGCGACCCCGGGCTTTTCTAAGGGCTTCCCTTTAGAGACAAGCCCATGGTCGACATTTCCGTGGCTGGTTTGGAGGTTTGGAGGCAGGGCCCCAACTCGAAGTGATTGTTTCTGAGGATGCACCTCCTGCCCCAATTCACCGAGAACTGTATGGGTTCCCTCGTTGGCTACCGGCGAAGAAGCGCTATGTGGGCCATTTGGGCCTGTCTCCAAATGGGGGGACCCCCCAAAATGGTGGTTTTCCCTAGAAAGGGTGCCAAAGAAACCAGACTCATATCAATACAATCATGCAATGTGTAACACTTGCACGTCATTTGCCATTTAGTTTGACACCTCAAAGCCCATGTTTCCAACAGAATGGCGTCCCGCCTGGCCGCGCGCAGCGCCCCGCCAAAGCCGTTTTCGAGCGAGGAGCATATGCTGATGCTCATCCGAACCCTCAAGAAGGCCCGGGGAAAGGGGAGCAGGGCGACATCGGCGGCCGGGTTTGGAACCCAAAGCGGGTGGTTTCCGTTTCCTTAGCTGACGAAGAAAAAGAACACAAAAAAAAGACACGCGTGTGTTGAAGCCCTGAAGTTCTGAAGGCCTTGTCTTCGAAGGCACGCCATTCAGGTTGCTGAGAAAATGGCCGGCACTTTCAAAAGATCGGCCTTTGGACTCCTTGCAGCGGCCTTTGGGTTGTTGAGACCCCTCCCATGCGCGCGCTTCGCGACTGCTCGCGAGGAGGATGCAGAAATAGACCCCCCCCCGCAGCCGCTACTGTTTTTCTTTGCGTTTTCTGGGCTGGTCCTGGCCAATGGCACAAAGAGCAGGTGCCATTCGTCCAGCAGTCAATAGGCTGCTATGGCTTTATTCCTCTCACTGGGAGGCTTGGTTGCCATTGATTCCCGAAAGGAGGCAGAAGTGGGTAGCTCCAATCAGAAGCTTTTGGCAACTGGGCGTTGCCTGGCTAACTGCCCCAGGAGAGGCCTTAAATACGCTTTGAAAGCGGCCCAGTTTGCAGCAGATGTTGAGTGAGAAGGGTGTTGGTAGTGAACCAAAAGGAAAACCAAAGCTTCCTCTTTTTTGCGGGGGCCTGGGGGTCCCCGATTTTCAGACACGCCCACATGACAACTGTCCATCTGGATTATCTTGACAGCACAATATAGATCTTGTCGCCCCACTCCCTCTAGTTCCTTACTTTTGCCGCAGCATTTTGAACACGTATACCATCTAAGAATCTAGGTTGTCCGGCAATGTCTGGCGCCTTAAGTGGAACATAGCCTCCATTTTACATATGCATATGCACATGCATATGCACATGCATATGCACACACACACATATATATATATATGCATATACATATACAGATACGTATACACATACACATACACATGCGCATGCATACGCACAGGGTCCGCAACTGCACACCTCCCAGGTGGTGAAGGAGACCACCATCACCCAGGGCCCGAACCTGGCGGAGGAGGGCGACGCCTCTGCCGTGACGAAGCTGGAGGCGGGGTGAAGAGGGTGAAGGTGGAGTGAAGCTGGGGGGGAGGCGGGGTGAAGAGGGTGAAGGTGGAGTGAAGCTGGGGGGGAGGGGATTTGGATTTGAGGGGGATTTGGATTTGAGTTGGGTTTCAGAGGGCTTCAGAGTGGGATTTGGATTTGCATTTTAAAGCGCGGTTGGCTTTTGGTGTCAATTCGGAGGGAGTGCAGTTGCCACTAGGTAAGTCAACCCCTGTAGTTTGCAGGATGCTTGTGGTACCGGGGACCCACGAACCACCCCCCCTCCCTCCGCTGAAGCCCCCCGTGGTGAGGTGGAGAGCTTTACCAAAAAATAAGATAAGTCCAACCCCAGACTTCGATTTGCTTTGAGGATATTTCTCGCTTGGAAGGGAAGCTACAAGTACTGTCTTTTGTTCCAGGGGCGTAATTATGCAAATGGAAGCTTAGGATTTATGCTGCCAACCACCACTGAGCTTTCAGGGTATTGGGTTATTTTTGGGATCTTGACTACAACATGCACTCCAAGTGTCCATGGCAAAGGGGTGGGGGTGGGGATGGGGTGGCCTTTGCAACAAGCCAAGAGCCAATTTGGGGGCTTGGGCCATGAAAAACATAAGCACATACCCTGACTTGGGGGTTTGGATTCCCTTCTTAGAGGGTGGATGCAAAACCTGCAGAACACCACTACACCACTGGGCTCCAAAGCAACAGTTAAAGGGAAGCCTCCTTTCTATTTCGACTGAACGAACGAGCGCATCCGGGTCTCTGAGCACTGAGTGCGCGACCTTTAGGGAGTTCTGGGGGTGGCCGATTTTTTTTTTTAAGCAACAGCTTGTGTGTGCGTGTGTGTGTCTGTGTGCTCGCTATTGGCCCCCTCCCCAAGCAAGGCCGGCGATGTGGTGGAGCTGCTGAGTTCCCCCAGCGAGGAAGGCCGGAGCTGCTGGGTTGGAAAACCAGTCCTTCCATTGGCTGATGTGGCTTTGATTTCTTTTGGAATTTTCCTTTGTTGGGAATCGATTTCGCTCCTGGATTATTTTTCTGTACAGCGGGCTTCAGCAAATGGAAGCTTCCCTTTAGCTCCCCTGTATCATTGGGCCGCAGGCCTCCATAATCTCTAGCCAAAGGTCCGACACCAATTTGCAAGGTTCCGCAACCGAACCGAATTCCTTGATCGAACACTTCCCTACCCAAGCGGTATGGTAGTAGAACACTTACTTTTGTTTTTCCCACTAAAAGTGAACAGAACCACAAAGCCAAACCACTTGCACACATGGCAACAGTGAAGACTACTCCAAGCATTGCCTTGTGTGCTGTTGGGGATGCCGCCGGGGATTATTCCTTTGTGCCTATAGCGTTGCGCTCCCGGGTTTTGCGGGGTTGGCGGGTTGGCTACAGTTTATCTGTGGGGTTGCGGGGGGTCCTTTCAACCGAGGACAACATGTGGTTTTGAGGATGCAATGAAAAGGGTTTGGGGGCGCCACTTTCTGCGCCCCGCGGGGATCCCCATTCCTCTACAGCTATTGGGTTGGATCTTTAGACTTTAATTTTTTGGATTCCCTTCATATTTCCCTTTTTATAGCAACAAGTTAAACTTTTTGCTGGGGGATCTACAGCACCCAAGATTCAAAGCGAGCTTCAGTATGGGAATAACGCATGTTGGTACCGCAGATTTCGGGTGAGCGTACAAGTACAACTTGTTTCCTCTGGAACAGATGGGCTGTGCCAAGCGACAGCCATCGACGAATCGACCGGCCGAGCAACCGACCGACTGGCTGTCCCTTAGACTTTTAGAGTTTAGAGGGACCACCAAAAACCACCAAGGCACATAGACGCACTTCCCACTAGTTCCTGAACCTCAGTCACCGGTTGGGTTTCGACCATTTTTAGTGGCCAACAATTAGTCATTAGTGCAGACTTTTTGTGGACCATCCACTCGGGAAGTAAGTAGAACCGGTCCCTTCACCATCATGCGGTCGCAATGAAGGGTTTCGGGGTTCCGTTTTCATCCACAGGAGTGTCTCAGCTGTTCAAAGCCGACATTTTGACCTTTTGGTTTTCCCTGTTTGGTCTATTTTAGTAGGGGTCCCAAAAGGTTAACCTTTCATTGATGGGTCTTTGGGCAAGTGAGGTGTGCTATGCCTATGGCTCTAGATTTCAAACTAGAAGACCCTAAGGGATGCTTGGTGGACACAACTCATCCGCCAAAGAGTGCCCAACTAAAAAGTCATTCCCACCCCCTCCCTCACGCTCCCCATATCCCTCACACACATACATAAACTATTAGTTAAATCAATAAACAAGTAAACAATTCAACATGTAAGCAAACATGACTCTTTTCGATGTACGGTATGATGCACCTCATGTCTATGCTTTTTCCTCACATCGTGAACTTTCTCATTGGCTCCCCCGACAGTTTTTCCCTCGGCCAGTGCAGGGAGGCGTTTGAGAGTGCTTAGCAGGGCCACGCAGGAATGATGTGATCACAAGTCCCGCTGCTCGCTTCACTGACTCGTGTTTGGATCCTTTTAGTTTAGTGGCAGACAACAGTTTGGACTTTGCTTTTGGGCAGCCATGTTTGATCTAACAGTTGCTGGTGATTGGCTTGGGGCACGAGTGGGGGGGCGGAAGGTGCCTGGAACACCTCCCGACCAATCCACACCAAGGGGAAGTTGATTTGAGACCAAGCTGCGGGTTGCAACTCGAGCCCGTCCCTAAACTCCCCTGAAGGCCAGCACGATGCCTCCACGTGGGTGTGTGTCCGTTTTGTATAGGACGTTCCTGGCTGGGTTTTAAAGTGAAGCCAAGAGGAAAATCGCTCATTTTGGGGGATCTCTTCAAACACCCCCTCCCGTCCCCAAAAGAAAGAAGAAGAGAAAAGAACTCAGAAGCCGACACCTTTGGGGCTGGCTGGGTCCGGTGGTCACGTGAGGGGTCTGAGTCGTGGGGGTGGTCCTAGGGCGTTTCGGCATAGGAAGAGAGAGCGAGAGAACGAGAGTACTGATAGACGGACGGAATCCAGAAATCGAACCACTTTGAAGCCAATCCAGAAATCGAACCACCTTGAAGCCATGGTTGAAACCAACATTTGGTGAATCTGGGATTTATGGGAATTGCAGGAATCCTGAGTCTTGTTTCTGGGCATTTGCAGGGGGATCGAATCATTCTTAGGTGCTGCGAACGGATTTTGTCCATCCACAGTAGGGGTACACTGGTAGACCACCAAGAGACTTCTTTGCCGACCTCCCTCGGCCGGTCGCCTCCGTCGGCCGGTGCGAGGCGACATGATGCGCGCCCAGTGTCGGTCCATGAAGGATGGCAGCAAGGGCTGGGCCACTTGTTTGCAGCTGTGCCTGTGGGTCAAACCCGCGAGGGGCGGCCGAAGGTGGCCGAAGGGAGACCACCGCCTCACTTTCGGGTTGCGTTGTCTTTTTTTTTTTTTTTGGACTACCCCCCATGTTTTTTTGTGGACTACCCCCCATGTTTTTTTGTGGTTTTAAAGGACACTCGCAAGGAACACTACCATTTTAGGGGGTCCCCTAAAAAGGCGCATATTTTTTTTGGTGGCCAAATTGGTGGCCAAATGGGTTGCAGCACTTTTGGGCCATCCTTCGGTTGTGCGTCTTGACCCGGACCCTCCCTCCTCATATCCAGTTTTCCAGTGGTACCCTGTTCTCTCTTTGTTTTGTGGGTTCCCACAAACTCCTCGGAAAGATTCCAAGCAGGTTTCCTTTCCGTCACAGGTATTTGTGGCTTCCTTCAACATCCGGGCTTGTTCTCAGTCAGGTGAACCAAAAGTCCCAAATGGGTTGGCTTACGTTGGCTTGGTTTCCTTTCAAGATTTGCCTAGGAGAAAAAAGCAAAACACAAAAAAAAGAACCTGCTTGCCACAGTGGGCAAGCGAGCGAGCGAATCCGGCCGGCAGCCGGCGAGCGAGCCGAGGTGACCCTGAAGGGCAACCAGGGCACCGCCTCGGCCCCGGGCGCACAGGGGGAGGAGAAGGGAAGGGTAAAAACCTAGGTCCCCCAGTAGTGCCCTTTCTCACCCTTTTTTGGGGGAGGGTTCCCCTACTAAAATAGACTGCAGAAAAAAGGGTACCCTTATTCTAACCTCTCCACTGGAGGACCTAGAAACAGATCTGCCATCGAGCCCGTCCCTGACTTTTTGTTGATCTTCCCCTGTTGATTTTGAAGGAAATCCATTTCGCTACGTACTGTTTTGTTTTATTATTATTATTATTTTTTCAGGAGGGATTAGGCAAACGGAGGACATGGGGGCCTCACTTCCTGAGTGCTGGACTTTAGCTATCTGAGGGTTGAACAATAGTGGCGAACAACAAGCTTGGCTATCTTGGCTACTTTTTCGGGGCAACCTCACTGTTGTTGGCATCTTGGTGTTTTTTGGTGGTTTGGTTCTTTTCGTTTCTACCAGGGCGCAACAAACCAAGGGCCGGCCATTTGCTGCCCCCTCCCCCCCCCCCTTCCCCGACTGGATCTCACCTCCGGTTTTTTCGGGTTTCGCGAGGTGCACCTGGCGGACGGGGGCGCGCTGTGGAAGGTCCTGAAGGACGCCGAAAATCCGCCGAGTCGCCTCGGGACATGGGACCCATGGGACCCATGGGACCCATGTTGGACCCATGACGCCCAGGCGTTTCTGGACGAAGGGGAGATGCCCACAGGGGAACTTCCGTTTTGATGGCCCTTCTAAAGGAAGGATCACGTCTGGCCCCCCAGGTTTGACCATGGAGAACATTTCCCACATAAGGGGGGTTTGGCCCACAAAAAACCTCAGCCACCTCTGCCATATGGTCCCGCCGAAGAACGCCTTTCTCTTGCAGCGTGCAGCCCAACCAGCCCACCAACGTGTTTGGCGGGCTCCGTACGCATCACCGATGGGCAGCCCTCTTTGGGCTCTTCCCCAAAATGTAACTCTGCCTGTGCCCGTGTTTTTCCTTTTTTTTTTTAACAATATACATATATATATATATATTGTTATTATTATTTTTAATTAAACACAATACTGTCGGTGGTTGAAACCACACTGGCAGGCAGCCACGAGATGCTGAGCGGATCACGGGATTCAGGTTGATTGACCATTACCTTGCCAAGCAGACCATTCAGAACCCTAGCTGTATCTGTTCGCCCTTGGGCGAAAGCGCCTGAAGCGCCTTGCTGTGATGGGTTCCGATTACGTGAATTCGCTTTGTGAGGCGTTTCCCCTTCCCGGTTTCGTCTTGGCTTTCTTCTTGTGTTTTGTTCACGTGTTGTTTCATCATGTGGCAAAACGGCCGAATGGCCGTTTGGCTCAAGTTTTGCCCTCCCGTCAGGGGGGTCACGGATTCGTGTTGCGCCAGCCATAGTGCGGCTGACTGCTTCGCCGTCGGGAAAAGGCTCCTGGCGTCGCCGTGGTTAGGCATTGGGAGGTGGGCGGAGGATCTCTGCGTGATCGTCCTGGGCTTGGACACAAACTTCCCTTCTCCAACCTGTTTCCCAACCTCCCCAAACTTGATCTTCATTAACTGTCACTCCCACAATCTGGTCACCAGCACCTTCTACATTGTGCTTTGGGACTGGGTTCTTTTGGTACTTCGTGAACTACGTGTACCTCTTTGATTCCCTGGGCTACTTCGTGTTCGCCCAAAACCGCAGGTTATCAGCCGTACCAGCTAGAAGCTGGGGCTGGTGATCCGGTTGCGGGACGTGACCCGCTACCTGCTCCCATCGCCTACTTGTACGAGCAATGGCGTCCCCCGGAGCTTCACATCGTGGGCCGGGCTTCGTGGACGACGAGGCCAACGCCCTTCGCGGCAACGCCGCGCCTGCTGCTCCCGGCTTAGACAGCCGGCTGTGGCCCATTCCCCCGATGGTGGGCGCAGAGCCCAATCCCGGGGTGATCACGGACGATTGGATCCTTTCTCAGGTCGTGTTTGATGAGGATGCGGAGACCCCTATCCCGGCGGCAGTGGTTCAGATCGAGGACGGAACCCCTCTAGAAGAGGCTGAGGTTCCTCCAAATCAGGTGCCCTCATCGATTTCGCCTACTGTTCCGTTCGTGGCGCTCCAGATCGAGGACCGGGCTGTCCATCATGCTGCTCATCCGGAGCCGGCTCAATCATGGTCCCTTACATGGGATCAGTTTGACCAGCTCCTCGGCAGTGGATCGCAGGCTACAGGGCTCCCTTTTTTTTTCACCCTCCGAACTTGTTTTTTTAACCCTTCCTTTTTTTTCAACCCTCAAAGCCTGCTTGGGAACCGTCGGCGGGAACCTTGCTTCTCCAACCCTGAGAAATCCTTTCTTTTCAACCCCTCACCTTGTTTTTTTCACCCTTTGCCTTGTTTTTTTCACCCTCCGCCTTGTTTTTTCCACCCGCGAGCTTGCTTGTTTCACCCCGCAACCTTGTTTTTCTCACCCTAAACCTAAAACAACCTAAGCCTGCCCCGCACCCAACCCAACCCAAACCAACCCTAGGCCCGCCCTAAGCCAAACCTTGCGAACCCTCAGTATCTCTAAATCCATCTCAAACCAGCCAAACACGCCCAAACCCACCCCAAACCCACCCCAAACCCACCCTACACAACACCCCCTAAACCCCAAGCAAGCCAGAAACGTCTTTTGTCCAACCCTAAACCCACCGCAAGCACCACCGACCCACTCGAAACCACCCTAAAGCATACATAACCCACCCCTAACCAATCCCAAACCGACCCTAAACCAACCCTAAATCAACAAACTAAACCAACCCTAAACCAACAAGCCAGTCCTGCACCCACCCTAAACCCACCCTACACGAACTCTAAACCCACCCGAACCTTGATCCAACCATAATCCCACCCCACACCTTAAGCTTAGCCTAAGCCAACAATAAACCCACCCTAAACCCGCTTAAACCCCAATCCCACCCTAATCTAGCCTTAATGCAACCCTAAGCCCAACCTAAACCAACCCTGAACAGACCCACCGACCCAAAACCAACCCTCAACCCGAAAACGACCCTAAGCCAATCCTAACCCAATCCTAAACCCACTCTAAACCCAGCTTTAACCAATCACGAACCACCCCGAAAACCAACCTTAAACTCAAGCCCAGCGAAAACCAACCCTAAACCAACCTTGCACCCACCCTAAACTCACCCAAAAACAACCCTAAATCCCCACCCTAACAACGCTAAACCCACACTAAACTCAAAACCAACCTAGCCCGACACCAACCCTAACCAACCCTGAGCCACTCCAAAGCAACCCTTAAACCAACCATAAGCCCACCCTGTACCAACCATGAACCCACCCTGATCCAACTCTAAGCGCACCCTGAGAGACTAAGCTGAGCTTGGCCCAACCCTAAATCCAGTGAAGCCAACCCTAGGCCAGCCGCAAAACCAATCCACATCCAAGCCTAAACCAACCCCAAACCCCGCCCTAAACCATCCCAGACCAACCCTGAACCAACCTATATCCAACCCAAAACAAACGAACAACATACCCTTACACACCTAAGCCCACCTGAAATCAAGACACCCCAAATCAACCCTAAGCCACCCTTGAGCGACCCCAAGCCTCCCCTAGCGCAACCCCAACTCCACCCTAGACATAGACAAACCGTAAACCCGCCCTGAACCAACCCTACACCAACCCTAAGCCAACCCTACAGCCACCACAGACCTACTCCAGACCACCTAAACCAAACACAAACCCACCGAAATCCTGCTCTAAGTCTACCTAATCCAACTCTACACCCGAAGCCGACCCCAAACCCACCTCAAACAGATTCTAAGGCAACGCTAAATCCACCCCAAATCCACCCTGAAGCCTTTCGACACACGCCCTAATCCCACCCTAAACTAACACCATGTAAATCCAACATTAATCCCAAGCCTGACCTCACCCTAAACCCATTCTAACCCCGCCTGAACCAACCCTAAATCCATCCTAAACCCGCTGTAGACCCATTCTCCAAGCCCAAAACCACCCTCATCCAACTTTAAACCCACCATATACCCAGCACAGACCTGCTCGAAACCAACCTTAAACTTAAACCGACCACAAACTTGCTCAACAAACCCTACCCCGCCTCTAAACCATTAAATCCACCCTTCCCATCCGAAACCAACCCTAAACCCACCTACCCCCCCCGCCCGAACGCACCCCAAACAAACCCTAAATCCAAAGCCGCTCCTAAACCAACCCAACCCTGGACCGTTGCTTAGTGCAGTTGCCGCAAACTTCGGCCACAGGGTTGGCAAAAAAGAAAGGGAGGGTTAAAAGGAAGAGGTGGAGGGTCAGAAAGAAAGGGGGGAGGGTTAAAAAAGAAGGGGGGAGGGTTAAAAAAAGACGGGGGGAGGGTTAAATAGAAAGGATGAAGGGTTGAAAAAACAGGGAAGGGTTGAAAAAAAAGGTTTGGAGGGTGAGAAAAAAGGGTTCCCCCAGGCTACACCGCCTGATTTCGGTCGGCTCGACTTCAACTCGGGTGCCCCCATATCGGTTGGGAATCTGGATTTTCAATCCCTTTTTGATGCTGATTGGAGGTCGCAGCCTTCCCGAATTGACAGATCTTTTGATGCCCTGCCTACACATGAGCCTACTCAGGGTTTTCCTCATGATGGAGAAAATGACCCCATTGAAGATTTCTCCCCCTCTCATGTTGCAGGTTCGGCCCAACCCGAGGTGGGCAAGCGGGCGATTGAGGATTGGCCGCAAACAGCTGGCCTTCCTCCCGTCTCAGGTTCATCCGACATTGACATCATTCACGATCACCCCAGTCCGGCGGATATGGACTTCATCCCTGACGCAGTATCATCTCACCTGTCAGGTACCCGCGACCGGAATGCGGACCGCTACAACGCTGGTCCGAATCCACCGCTTTCCTCAGGTACCCGGGGTCGGGATGCGAACCGCTACAACGCGGGCTCAAATCCGCCAAATCGGGCATCAGGTACTAATCGATCGGACGCGGGCCGCGAAACAGCAGGCCCAAATCCTTCCTCCACTTCATCAAGAAGCCATGCCGGTCTATTCGCGGCGTTCAATCGGCGTCAGACTCGAAAAGAGTCCGCCCCCGACGTCATCGACCTCGAAGAGCAGTCCAGCCACCGTACCAGTGATGGATCCGAGCAGGATACACCTGGTATTGGCTCTACTCCCTTCGACCTCCTCGACATCCCCTTCCATCAGCCACCCAGGAGAGGAAATGAAGATGATGAAACCATCCCTGGGATCCTTGATGTAATCGATGAGGCCGAGGTCACACCAGAGAGACGAACGACATCGCTCCCGCCGAGCCGCGTTGCCAAAGTACTTTCCCCTAAGCCACTCATTGGTGACGTTGCTCAACGGCTTGATCTCACTCAACCTGATCCAGATCAAGCTCAACTTCGCGGGTCGTCATCTTTTGATAACATGTCGGGACAAACCGGCACTGACTCACGAGCCACAAAGAGGAGCTCTGAGTCACCCGAGAGACGTGAAGCTGCTTTGCGATTGCGATCTAATCCCCCAACTCATCACGATCCTATTGACGTTCCTATCCACTCTGCGGGATCTGGGCTCAGCTCCAATGCCCCGATGTCTGAG